AGAGCAAGAAAGAGGTGATGTTACTGAACAGAAGATAGTGTTTTGAAGAGTTTCACTTGATGAAATAGTCTCCTTTGGCTGAAGATATGCCTCCGCATGTGGACAGTCCAGCCTCCAGTTTAGGAGTACTCTTGGATTCCTGGCTGATTGCAGGCTCCCGCATAGCAGCATCCACGAGTAATGCCTTGGCTAGGAAACAGTCCTATGCTGGCAGATGGTGACCTGGCCTCAGTTATTTGTGCCTTCATCACTCTTTGGCTGGATTATAGCAATATGAGATACCTGGGCATGAAGCCTTTAGTGCTTAGGAAAATAGCTCGTGCAGAATGTTACAGCATATGCTTGTGGTAAACTCTGTTACTCAGAAAACATCAGGCTTGCCCTTTATTTTCTGTGCCACCTTACCATATAGTTTTTAAATTGCTTTTAGGATCTTGGCCCCTATCTTTTAGGTGACAAATATTCTATTCTTAGAAGTGGCCCGAAATTGGAAAAGAGAGGGGCACAGAATGAAATTGGAAAAAAGGGGAGCCCAGAATGAAATTGGAAAAGAGCAGGGGCCCTGGAATGAAATTGGAAAAGAGTGGGGCCCCAAAAAGAAATCATCCTCTGAAAGATTGTAAGATTTCTCAAGAGTTTATTCTAATCTCAGGTTAACAACTAGAAGATTTTACAAGCACTGAAGTTTTCCTACTTTCCACTGTTACTGTAAGCCCTGTTCCTATGACCTTAGTGTCTCTAAAAATAACTTGTAAATTTCTGTTGAAGCAAGACATTTTGTAGCATGCAAGCCTCTTGTCTTTCCTGGAGAAAACAATTGCGGTGGATGAGTAGCCTTGTTACTACAGTGGAAGAAAGATACAGTGAAGTATAGTATGAAAAACTGTAGAACTGTAGAGTACTGAAGGTAATCATAACTGGTATTTCAGTGGTAGTAGTGCTCTTCCATCACAAGCAAGTGCAAAACAGTGTAAGGGGTGTGGGCTGTTGCCAGCATTGTACTTGTGATCTGTCACTATTCTAACATCCAGAGGCTATTGATAGAGGCTCTAGAAATAACTTGGATTTTCCATTTGCAGATTTGCACTTAGCACGAGGCTAGTAAGCTGTCAAACCAGCTCTTGGAGAATGTATTAAGCTGGCATTTGATTATTTTCTTTAAAGCTTGGGGTTTTTTGATAGTACATTTGTGTCATTTAATGTTTTGTATTTTTTTTTTGATGCATTCCTGAACTGGCCCATGATATCCCTTAAGACAACAGCATCCTAAGAAAAGAGAAAGCTTATGTACTGAGAGCTCTAAAACACATTGAAATCCGTTTAGAATAATCAGTTACCATGGAAATGTAAATTCTGTGGGCATGGAGCTCAGTCCACCTAATAATTAAGGATGATCTCTGTAGAAGGAAGCTAATACAAGCATTTGCAAGGTAAAGAAATACTGTTGTTTAGAAGCATTGTCTATATCTGCCAGGGGTTCATATACTCATAATTCTGATTATGTGCATAATTAAAAAGCTAAGAAGCTGCTAAGCGTGGTGAACCTAATCACCTTCTGCTTCAAAGTATCAAGGGAGCCATGACTTTGTGCAATAGCTTGCTGCTTGTGCTCAGTGTCTTCCAGGATCTGGCTGAAAGCATATTATCAACAAATGCTTTCAGTATGCTGTCAATAAATGATTGTTAAGGTGGAGATGACGAAATCATAATTAAGAACAAAATATATGATAGGGCTGTTGTCACTATTTTCAAAACAGAAGTGTTAAATCCAGGAAATTTACAGTTAAACTGAAAAGGAATTAAAATACTTTAAGCTGTGGAAATATGTGGAAAGAGGATCCAAACTTCCAAACTCTTTTCTATTGCCAGCTGCTCTGACTTCATATGTAGTTAAAGCTCAGAAAAATATGGTGCAAAATCTTTTTCACTCTTTTTAACCTTGCTGCTTAGAGTTAGTTACATCATGGAGGTTTATTTTTTTCCTGCTCCCACCTGTGTGTTTAAGGACAGATTTAATCTGATAAGCACCTTCATGGATTTACTGGTATAGTTCTTGTGGAGGGAGATATATTTCTCAAAATGGCTACCAAGTGAGGGCAGTAGTGGCTTCATTTTCACTAAGAAATTAGATTTTTTGAGGAGGGGGGGCAGTTCTTCCTAAAGGGAGGATTTTTTTTTTTGTGTGTGTAACTTGTTACATGTCCTTGTATAGTGCAGGAAAATAATAAGGGAAGGATGAAGAGAGATGACTATTAATAAAGCAAACCAGGGATGCATTCTTTTATCGACACTAACTTCATTGCACAGCCAAATGCTTCAAATTCCCCTCCCTCTCTTCCTCTTCCATTTTTCATGAGCACTGCCTCCCTTTTCCTGCTTTGAGGCTTCCCCCAGATCTGTTCTCCTTTTCTTACAACTAACCCTGCTCTCCTTGGTACTTTTTTTTCCTCTTACCAGGGCTTCTTAGGATAGCATATCTCTGACTTCCACTTTACCCTTGCTTACTCCCTTTTATCTCTTTCGAGACATTGGCATCTTCAGCTATAGGAGGATGGTCAGAGTGAAGAAGGTTTTTTTTTTTTCTCTTGTTGATTGTTTTGTTGTTTTTTTTTTTTTTTTGAACTAGATCATGCTTACTCTTATGAGCTGTGGTGGTTAGCAGTGGCTCATACAGGTCATTCTGCCAACCAGATGCCCTGTATTCGGTCCTCAATCTTTTTTTTTTTTTTTTTTTTTAAATTTATTTTTGTTTTTCTCCAAAGTCTGAGGCCTAAAATATATATTGAAACAGGAATTGATTAGATGCAGAATAAGAAAATGATTGCAGTTGGACTAGATGATTCATTGTAGGTCCCTTCCAACTGGAACTATTCTATTATATTTAACTTGATGTCATGTCCTTGTCTGGATGCACGATTTTGCAAATGTTGCCACAGCTAGTATTATCCTCTGCTTAATGTTTGCTTTTTTTTTAAAGTTGGTCCGTGGCCTGTTCCTAAAATGAAGGCACTGCCCTCTTTCTGTCCTGACTCTGCATGCTAATACTTTCCTTTGTTATATCTGAAAGAGGGTGTACCTGCATCTGATGGAAATTTAACTGGTATCTTTCTATATTTGCTCAGGCTGCTGGTCGGTCAGATCTATGAAGTGATCTGACTAGCCTGTGGCTACCTAATGTGTGAAGCAGACCAAGTAGAGTGGCTGGAGTGTGCAACTGAGCAGTTGATGAGCTTTCAGCTGCAGTGCATCCTTAGATTGCCAAAGGCTGATCATGCAACTATACCTTTAGAAAGCAACTTTTGCACAAGATATAATTATAAACACTTTAAGTTGGCATGACTATCAAGAGAAACAGTCCTACACTCTTCCTGGCTGCTGTTCCCATTCTTATGTTGACCCTTTCCTTTCCTGGCACAGATATATGATCGGATCCTCTCTGGCTGCACAGTGCAAAATGGAATGGAGGGGCAGCATGGGCAACTGTACTAGCAGTTGGTTGCAAGAAGCTCCTTCCCCTCCTCCAGAAGCTTATATTGTTTCAGCATTCATTCAACCTCTTCTTAAAGAGGTGTGCTATCGATAAGATTACTGTTTATATTGCTTCAGTGCAGTTTTATCTGTACTCCTGTGCTTATTCAGGGGCTTGTGGTGGATACCACAAGCGTTTCTGTACCCATACAGTGAACTGATCTGATTTAATAAATAGCTTAGCAAAAAAGGCTGGTTTTAGACAGCTTGCTGTGCAGGACAGGTACTCTTGTGCCACGATTGTGCAGGTAAAATGAAGGTGGATAGCTGAGGAAAGACTATGTGTAATTTATGTCTGTGTGACCACTGGAGGGGGAAAAAAAAATTTATGGAGTTACAACTTTGTAGCTGGATCAGGAAGCTGATCTACCTTTGTCCTTTTGCACTCTTTTCACATCCTGTTCCCTCTGCTTTCCCCTCAACACAAAACCAAAAAAAAATTAATCCCTCAAACACTTTACAAACCAAAATCCTGGGCTATTTTTCATTTGGATCAGTTCTGTGATTCATTTCAACACAAACATCTGTTATGGCAGTGTATGGCTAAGGGAATGGTGATGGGGTACTTGGTTACAGTACAGGTAATGCCTTTTAATCAGGAGGTTACCACTGTTTCCTTAATAAACAGGCTGATTTAACTGTGGTATTTTTGGCTGTAACAGGGTTCATACAGAGACTAGATAAGCTTGTAGCAGTGTCTTGCTCCTGATTGTGATCTTCCCTACAGTCCCTTTCCTTGTACACAGCTAGGTGACATCTTTGAGATATGGAAGGGCTGCGTAGTCCCAGAGAGTGACAGCACCCTGGAGCAGTTGCTACCTTGTTAGACAAATTGGTCTGGCCTGCAGGTTGTACCTGGTTTCCTGGATGCCTCTTGAGAAAGAGGATTGGTAGTTCTAGGTTGTGTAGTTGTTGTTGGTAGAAATCTGTTCCCACTCTCAGCCTTTCCTAAGGCATCATTGGAGTACACAATAACTGAGCTGTGCTTGTAGGAGACTTCAGGAAATACTGACTGTGGGACGTGTATGTAGTATGATTTCTCTGAATGTCTACATTTCCCAGGACCAGTGGATTTTATGTATTTATGGTAGATCCTGTTGTGAAATTGAAGGGACTGTGACACTGACTGTCTAAAGTGAAGTGGCCAGTTTGGCCAGAATGCCAGAGGACCACAAATCTAAGAAGTTGAGAAAAAGTGTGCTTAGTGTGATGCATACACTGTTAGGCTGTGAAAACTCCCAGGAGAACAAATGGACCTCCTTGCTCCAAGACACTGAAAAAGAGGCTAAATGCACCTGGATGTGGCCCTTGAGAATAAACTGTATTTTTTGTGAGGAGAGGTTGCATTTGGTGATGTCTCATTACATGCATTCTCTCCCTAGCTGTTGTTTGAGTGGTCTGTGTAGTAGGTCGTAATTAGGAAGCATGTCACTTGTTCAAGAAATACTGTGAATCTTTATCCCTCTTTACAGGTTTGCAACAGTGAGGTATGACCAGGCATCCAAGAACATTAAAAACCAGTTCATGCATCTGACCAACTACAGTGTCAACAAGAAGAGTGGAGATTATGTCAGGTACTTGGCTGGAAAATGGAACTTGATCTCTAGAGATTGGATCAATTTACCTGTTAGTCTAAGGCTGGTGCAAGTCCATAGAGGTAGGCCAGTGGTGTCAATTTGCTTCTTTCATCTATTTTTAGCTGCGATGATCCTGAAGTAGAGGATTATGGAAACAAGTGGAGCATGAGTGCAATGCTGAGGTACTTAAAACAAGAGGGGAGAGACACCGCAGGTCAGTACAGATCTTGTTCTTTTATTCCTTTTTGGATCTTAATCATCTCACTAGTGCAAATCCTAAGAAGACAGGGGAGAGCCCCAGTGAGTCCCATTTAGCACCAGAGCAGGGTGGAGGGAAGCGCTGTTCCTTACAGCCTACTCAGTAGAGCTGTGCATTTATTCTCTATCCCCAGAGATGAGTCCTGTCCCCAGATATGAGGTCTACCCCTTCCCTTTTGCAAATAATATTCTGAGACTTTCTCAGGGTGTGTTTCTTAATATTTTACCTACATTTCCCGTTTCTTAAGGTCATTCCATTCCTTCTAAAAGCTTCCCTCCCTCTACTGCTCCCATGGCCTGTTCAATCTGATGAGTGACCAACCTCTGGAGAACTGTGCCAGTTTGAATGACTCTTGGATGTGGTGTCATCTTTCCATGGCTCAGGTTTTTGCTGGGTGTTTTCATTTCAGTCTGTGTTTCATATAAAATAGCTCCCTCTTCCACACCTTTGCCAGGTCTGCTGGGAGTAAATGAATCTGCAGAGCAGAATCCAGGTATATCCTTTAAAGGATAAGTTACCTGTGATACTGAGGCATCGGTAATACTAATGATAGCAGCTATGCCCAAGTTGCAAATGTTGCCAGCGAACACTTTAAAGTTGGAGGAAGGGGTTTGAATCTGGCTTTCAGATGGAAGTAGACTTTTCCCATCATATGTGTGTGTGGCTGTTCAGTCACTTGCACCATATGTTTTCAGTAAGCTGTGTACTCATAGTTATTTATATTAATACGTTTTCACACCCCAACCCAATCTAAAGTATAAAACATATACACTTAATTATTGACTAAGCTGCTGAGTGATGCAAGCAGGTTTCTCTAACTATCCATTACAAGTCTTCTTGCACCTTTCTCTGATGCATCTGGTTCTGGTCACAGGCAGTCAGAATGCTGGCAGGAAAGTGCTGGCCATGTCTGGGCTGGCAAGATTTTTGTGCTCTGGGATGTTTGTGTGCACTTAGACATTCCCGTGCTCTGTTGCTTCCACTTATTTGTCTTCTGGCACAGAAATTCACATCTGAATTTGCTTGCATGCTCCTGTGTAATTATTCAGGTCCCTGCATGTCATCATCTAACATGAGAAATAGTAATTGTAGGCCTAAATCGAACTCTCTAGTCAAGTGGTTTGTATGAGATTTTCCTTGGGACAGGGATTACCAAATGTCTGTGTGGGTTTGCTGGAGGTCTTCTGTGTTTGCTTGTTCTCCCTTTGAGGGCTGGGGAAGGTTGTCCTATCATCCCTACTAACTTTTCAGACTGAGACTGCAGTGTTTGTTCATTCCTTCCTCCTCTCACTTCTCTATTGCTTGTCCTTGAAAACAGAAGCTAAGTGTGGTGTTCTTTCTATTGCATGACTCATCCCAAGACCAGTGTAGAATCCAGGTCTATATCTAATGTGCATCTTTTCTTGCCTTTTGCTCCCTCTGTCAGCTCAGATTCCTGTTTTTGAGCTCTGTTTATAGTGTTAGACAGGAGCTGGAGAGAGCTTCCTTACTGAAACTGCAGATTATCTATAGGTCAGCAGGACTGGGAGCTGTCACCAGTCATATAATTTTGGAATGATTTGTGAATCAAGGTATGAGAACAGCTGCTTTAGAGGAAGGTGCAACATCACATAACAGTTATCTCATAAAAGTCCACACGAAAAATTTTTGTGTATCAGTGGCTATGGCTTATTCTCTGTAGTTTAAGGGTTTATCTCACTAACCCACTCTTATTTAATCCTTCCTAATACTCTGAGTGGGTGGTGATCAGACTCCAGCTGACTTGTGCTGATGTGCTTGCCACATGTTTCTGCTTACTTGCACTGTACATAAACTCACTGGTATCATGCTCATTTGTGAGTTTTTTTGCACTAGGATACTTACGCATGTATCTATATACTTATGCTTGCATGGATTTCCAAACATCATTGCTTTGACATCCATAGGCTCTCACATGCTTTGATTCACAAAGGTATCTGTCCATATGCATATTCTCATGCTTTTCTAGATATTGTGTACTACTTCAGAATCTACTTTTTCCTTTTTTTTTTTTCTTTTTTTTTTTCCTCCTCTCCTTGCAGCATTGATGGCGAATGTGGAGGACCTGATTATCAAGACTGTAGTTTCTGCTGAGTTGACCATTGCCACAGCTTGTAAAACTTTTCTTTCACATCGTGGCAGCTGCTTTGGTAAGACCTTGGGGGCATCTTTGTTGATTGGTTCTTGAGCACTGTTGGAAACTTCCAGCTTTCTGATACTACAGAGAAATGTGCATTCCCTATTGCAGAGAAGCCAGATACTGTTTGTTTGTGTTTTTTTTTTGTCAGTGTAGGCATCTCAGAGGGCAGGGGATGTTGGCTCACAGTTGCCCCTGAGCCAGTGTCATTCATCAGAATCTCATGGTAGAAAAGGGATTTGAAAGGGAACTGGGGAAGTGCTGGAAAGTTGAAGTTACTGACCCACTAGTGCCCTTGCAAAGGATGGCTGTGAATGATTGAACATCCACTTAGAGCATTTAATATTTTCTGTTGAGCCATCTAGCCCTATGTAGTTCTGAATTACTGTCTTACATGCATCTGAGGACTAGGGAGGAATGTGTAATGTAGTACCTGGAATGATGGTGGTGGTAAATGCTTCTGGGCTTGTGCTTGTGTGAGAGTGCCGCATGGTGGCGTCAAAGCCTATTTCTGGCAGAAGCTGGGTGCAGAACTATGTGCTGGCAAAGGGACTTGAGAACTCGCTGGCAGCAGATGCTGGGACGAGGTCCAGAAAGCAGCGGCTGGTACCACAGTGTGCCTTCTCCCGCTTTCCAGTGGCTGCTTCCCAATCTTCCCTAAAGAGGCCTCCTCCTGCTCTTAGCCGCCCTTTGCTTGTGTGGATACGTGCATGAAGATGGAGTCTTGGGGCAGGGGAAGTTAGTCTAGAATTAGTCTCAGTCAGTGCTTAAACCAAAGACCAAGCTTGGCTTAAGCTATCCTGTGTTTAGGTATTGGGACTTATATTTAAACTAGCTGTGACAAGTAAATCCATTTGTGTGGTCCTTGCATTACACTTGGGTATTCAATTCTACAGCTTTCAACACTCGTAACAAATACTGTCATCTTTGGATATTTAGGGGTGATGAGACAGTCAAAAATCAAGGAGGAGCCATGGCTAATATGTTGTTTAGTTATTTGCCAGACTAGCTACCTCTCTGGCTTTAGCTTCTCCTGACTAACTCTGATGCCTTTGTTCAAAGTTGGAGAACCTTGGCATACATGGGGATTTATGAGTTAGATAATAGTTTTAGGGAAGTGACAGTTTATCAGCTACTCCAGAAATATCAACAACTGGATTAAAAAAAAACGCACCAAAAATCTTTAACTGCCTCTTGCTTCTCTCTTTTCCTCCCTCAGTTGTGTCTCTAGATTCCTCTGAGCTCTGTATGTGGAAACTAATGTTCCTCGTGTACTTTCTGCTGGGCCTGGCTCGGAGGTTATCCCACTTCCTGCTGCCTCCCCAGGGCTGCACTAACCACCCTCTCAGATGCTCCCCCACAAATAAACTGTTTTGTTCCATTTATTTCAGTGTAAACATAAATTAAGAGCTTCCCAGGAAAGAGGGCTTAAGTAGGAGCCGTGCTGCTTCCCTAGGGAGCCTGAGGCATTTCCAGAGCTCAGTAGTTTCTGCCACCTTCCCCCACAATTAAGTGGTGGTCCTTGTCCCAAGGATTTGAACTGCCCTTGTCATGCTGTATGGCTCATTCTTCATCCATGTGTCTTGTTCTGACACTCTTTGGTTGTGCCACTTTTAACCCTATTGTAAAAAAGACAGCTTTTCTAGCTGGAAATGTTCAGGGTGGCTGAGTTCATAGCTGCTAACATGAAGGAGAAAACTGGGAATGAAGATTTCAAGGCAGCATGCAGAGGCTCCCTAGAGCCTTTTTTTTCATTCTGGGCTGTGAACAATGAAACTGCATGTATGTCCTGAGAAAGACTGATCATTTGAAAAGTATCTCAGACTTCAGAAACCTGTAACTGAGATTCAGGTACAGAGGTAGGCCTTGTTTGGAAAGCTTCTAGAAAAATAAGACTAACTGAATGTGTATTCTACTATAGTCTTTGTCATGCTGTTCTGGAGAATAAGACTCCAGCACAATTGCCACCTTCTTGCTAAAAATTAAATCACAAGTACTTACTTGTCTATATTAGGTTGCCCACTTTATTTGTCTAACAGTTTAGCACTGCTGTGGTCCTACATTCCTTTCCCATGTAAATGTTTGTTTTTTTGTTTTTTTTTTTTTAATGTAATAGACTTGTTTTCTAGATTTAAGAGAAGAGACTCCATTCATGGCTTCATGTTCTAAGATAAGACTGGTGAGACAGTCTGTATGGTTCCGGGTAACCACGATTGCCTAGAAAGTGAGAGTGGTAGGTCAGGATGATTCTTTTTCTAATATCAAAGTGGAGTGCTGCTGACAATTTGTGAAAGGTTGTAATGAGTCCCCTTTTGGCCATGTCATGTGAGCTGTTTACTGCATTCTAGTAATAATCAGTTCTTAAATGACTTGGGATGCTCAGTAGTTTTGTTCCTCTGAAGTGCATCACAGAAAGTGATGTAAGTACTACATGATTTTGTTGCAGCTTTGTTCATGAACTATTAATGTGATCTCAAGCCTCTATTTTGTTCTTTATGATAGCTAATGAAGGCAACTGAGTGCAGCATTGATTTTTGCCAGCATCCAGTGTAGCACCATTTTCTGTACTCACTGAAACATGAGCTTGAAGAAGCAATGGATTGAAGTCCCTTGTTTTGTTCCCAGCTCTAGTCAACCCAGCCATGACACTTGAGCTCTTCTGCAATCAAAAAGGCAGGGCAGGGTAGGATAACAGGCATGTTCATCCCACCAAAGCAGTGAGTTTCTTACTTAACTGCTCCTTTGTCATAAGGCTGAATTGGTCAGGGTTATGCTTCTGGTCACATCTGCATTAAGATGGTATAGAGGAAACAATAAACTATTGTACTACTTGAGTGGTGCTGACCTGGCGCTAAATGCTTAAAGTCTTCACTTGTATCTAATCATCGGTTCTCAACCATCGAGGTTGCTGTTCTTTATGAGCATTTAATTTTCTTAGTGGTAGCGGCTGACCTGTTTGGGGTAATGGTAGCCTTTTGTAGTACTGAACAGTGTTGACCTGCTCCATAATGAATTTGGAGGACACTAAAATTGTGAGATTCTTAAGGAGTTTCTGTGCAGACTTTTTTGGCTTGAGTATAGGTGAGTCCCTGCTTAGAGACTTAGGTCAGCCATACATATACCATACACATATCCTGTATCTTTCTCTGGTTTCATAGATGACATGTCAAGGAAAAGCAGAACAGTTATTCCCCATGCTTATCTTTTTTTTTTTTGCAAAGCTTAATCTATTCTATTTTTATACCCTTACTGTCAGTCTTTGCTTTAAAGCCAGTATGTAAAGAAGCCATTTTGAATCTGAAAAAGATGGTCCTTAGAGTCCTACCATCAGATTCAGGAGTCCTGTACCTTTCAGGACAGGTCTTTTGATGATCCAATGTGCCAGGTTAGGTTTTGTAATATAGTGATATCTTCAGAATTTAACAAAACTGCCAGCTGAGCCTGCAGGGTAAAAGAAGTTCAAGGGATAGGTCTAGTGATAGCTCCTGTAGGAGTAAGAGTCTATCCCTGCACTGTTTTCCTTATTTGTCACTTCGTAGCTCTAAATGGTACCTAACTGTTGATGATTTAGCACCTAGAGCTCAGCTGACAGAGACAGAGTCCCTGTTGCTGCAGAGGCTTTCTGGTTTCTTTAGGAAGCTGTTCTCAGCTTGGTAGCACCTGTTTCTTTCTCAGCATACTGGGGCAGACCTAGGAAGAATTAACTCTTCCCAAAGCAGTGATAAAGAAATGACCAGCATTGTCAATTTGTCATCAGTGGACTTGTGTTACCAAAGTCTGAATCAACCATGGATTTTCATTCCATTTTCTATTGCCATTGGTTCTTGTAGTGACATTAAGGCCTTTAGCAGATAGATGAGAACATGGAAATGAGGAACACCAGGCTATTCTTGTCTCCTGGTTTGCTTGGGGCGCTAAGGTTGTTGAAGTTTAGGAGCTTGAAATCAGAAGAACTTGGGCTAATGAAGTCAGGAAACATGCTCTTTTTCTCCTTCATCTCATGTGCCCATGTATTTATGGAGTATGATGGCTTTTATTTTGATCTATCTGCTACTACATTTTCTTAATTTGGCCACCTAAATTTGTTGAAGAACAAGGAGCAGTATTTCTGTTCCTCAATGGCATAAAGTAAATGATGTCCAAAGGTGGTTATTGGGATGTTAACCTCTTTGTTTACTATGATATCACACACTGGGTTGAAGAACTTTCTCCTTCATGGGTGATAAATTATCTACCCTGTAAGATTAGGATTATAAAGGCAGCCCAATTTGCACCAAGACTCCTGTTCTTTGATGAAGATGGCTGTATTAACTTTTCTGACTTCAGAGTAGAAGGATGATTCTGAGTCTGATTTTGGTACAGGTGATGAGCCCAACTGTAATCTTCTCTTTACCAAAGAGAGTAGTGGTTTATGTAGAAGGAGGGCAACCAAGGTGGTGAGAGGTCTCGAGGGCAAGACCTATAAGGAGTGGCTGAGGTCACTTGGCTTGTTCAGCTTGGAGAAGAGGAAGATGAGGGATGACCTCATTGCAGCCTACAACTTCCTCAAGGGAAGCAATGGAGGGTGGGCTGCTGATCTCTATCTGGTGACTAGTGACAGGACACGAGGAAATGGAATGAAGCTATGTCAGGGAAGTTCAGATTGGACATTAAGAAAAGGTTCTTCACTGAGAGAGTGAGTGGTCGGTCACTGGAACAGCCACCTCAAGGAAGTGGTCACAGCACCAACCCTGTCAGAGTTCAAGGAGCGTTGATGCTTTTAGTCGTATGATTTAGTTTTAGGTAGTCCTGCAAGGAGCAGGGAGTTGGACTTGATGATCCTTATGGGTCCCTTCCAACTTGAGATATTCTGTGTTTCTATGTAGGCACCCTGAAATTAAGCCACTTCTGAAGACTATTATTGGGAATGTGACTAAGTGTCCTTCAGGCTTCAGTAGAAGGCAAAAACAGTTGAGAAGTTATCTTACAGGTGGTGAACTTTCTCTGGTTACCTATTGTGAAGACAGTGACTCTAAGTGAGGTAATTACACATTTGGCCAAGCTAGTATGACAAACTCTGGCAAGTGCAGACTGCTTCTCTTGAAGTAGACAAGAACACCGACATGTGGAATAATTCTGTGCTCTCTTGTTGGGCCCTTTCTTGTAATAACCTTGAGAGATAAAGCCTTTCTCTGTTAAAATAGAGTTGTCTAAAAAAGGGAGTAAAACTGTATTATTTAGAGTGCAAAAGGGAAATTCTTCCATCAAGAGAAGCATGACTAGCAGGTTGAGGCAGGTGATTTTCCCCCTCTACTCCACTCTTGTGAGACTGCACCTGGAGTACCGTGTCCAGCTCTGGGGCCCCCAACATAAGAAGGACATGGACCTGTTGGAGTCAGTCCCAAGGAGGGCCACAGAGATGGTCAGAGGGCTGGATCACCTCTCCAGTGAGGACAGTCTGAGAGAGTTGGGGTTGTTCAGCCTGGAGAAGGCTCTGGGGAGACCTTATAGTGTCCTTCCAGTACTTAAAGGGGGGCCTGCAGGAAAGGTTGGGAGGGACTCTAGCAGGGAGTGTGGTGATAGGACAAGGGGTAACAGTTTTCAACTGAAAGAGGGTCGATTTAGGTTAGATGTAAGGAAGAAATTCTTTCCTGTGAGGGTGGTGAGACACTGGAACAGGTTGCCCAGAGGAGTTGTGGATGTCCCATCCCTGGAAGTGTTCAAGGCCAGGTTGGACGGGGCTTTGAGCAACGTGGACTATTTGAAGGTGTCCCTGCCCATGGCAGGGGGGTTGGAACTAGATGATAATTAAGGTCCTTCCAACCCAAACCGTTCTATGATTCTATGAAAATTAGATGATTGTTTTTTATTGCAAAAGCAGAGAAGTTGCATAGTATGTAGCTTTTTTTTTCAGTGTATATGTGTCCCTTCATAACCTCAGGTTGCCTCCACTGAATTCTAGAATATGTACTTTGCAGTAAAGCTGCTTCTTTTTCCCCAGTGAACAAGCTGAAAACAAAGACCAGAATTAGAGCAACCCTCTAGGAGTTGAGTTTATTCATATGCAAAATCATGAAACTGTTGCACTTCCAGGCTATTACTTGGGACTTAGTTTATAGACTTACAGAGAATAGCACTTTCTTTGAGGATATTTTCTAAAAGGGAGTGCCAGTGCAGTCTTTGACTGCATCATAAGCCAAACTTGGAATACATTGTAGTTTATCAGCACCAAAAAGCTTGAAACCGTGTCTGTAGCCTTCCTCTTAGTCTTTAAGAATGCCATTGGCAAAAAAAAAAAAATCTCTGTCTGAACTGTTGCTCTTAGACTTTAGTCTGAGGCTAGCCCTTTTCTTGGGAGGATGGGAAGCTCCGTCAGCAGTGACTTCTCTATGGGAGTTGGAGGGGAGAGGCAGTCTGTTCCTGCTGAGTCTTGGCAACAGCTGGTACCTCCTGATATAATTCCAGTCTCTTTAGCAAACTGCAAGAGTGAACCATGTTTTTGTGGATTGTAGTAGCAAGAGGGGGGAAGCAACGGAAGGTGCTGTGGAAACTTGATATCTAAGTTTCTTCTATTCTTCCCTTAACAGTAGTGCAAGGTGGATTGTCATAAGCCTACCATTGCCACAGCCTGAGGCGTATGTTTCTCTTTCAGTCATTCTGTTTTCTTTACTCTCTCTTCAGAGGGAAATAGCAGTCTTGCTTAAATTGGTAATTGCAGAGGATATACTTCTGATTTTGCTATGCTCATGTGACTCTATCTTTGTGCTGCCTATATATTTGTTTCTGCAAATAATAGTGGAGTTTCACAGTAGAACTAATACTTCTGTGTTTAATCTAGATAATGCATTTTCCAAATGTGGAAGATGGCCAAGGAGATATTTCTAGGATAGCTGAAATCACAGGTAGTTTATCTTCTGTTTGTGCCCTAGTATCCCAGGCAGACTTGAGAACCGCTTTGTGCTAAGCCCTATGTGGGAACCTGTGAGGCTTGATTCTTTTGCCAGAACATGGGTATTGCATAGCTCCTGATGCCATGAAGTAGCAGAGACATCTGTTGAGGACTTGTATATATGACCTAGAATACATGAGACATGGGACATCATGGAACAGCAGCAGAGTCTTCCTAGGAGGACCCTAAGGCATTGCAGATGGCATTAGATATCTGTGTTTAACAATGGAATTCTGTCAACAGGGATACCCTGAAGAGCTTAGTGTCCTAATAAACAAGGCAGACACAAGGGAAAGGAGTGTAAAGCAGCAGCAGCATGGCCAGGGCTAGCCAGGGTCAAGAGGTTTCCCATATGTATTTGTAAAAGTGGACAGAGTGAGTAACTGGGTGGGAAAGAGGGAGGTTTAAAGAACAAGTGGTCTGGAAGGCAGAAAAGTGTGGGAGAGGATGACAAAGTCAGAGGAGTCAAAATACAGCAAAGGTCCTTTGAGGGGCAGAGGGAGGGAATGGCCAGCAGCAAAAGAAGCAGCAGCTAGTCAAAACAAAATGCTCTGCTTCCTGACTGGGGTTGGGAGGCCACAGACCAGCAGCTGCCACAGGCCCACTCATTGCTCTTTTGCCTTGGGCATGAGCTGCCTGTGTACTGAAGTTTGCTATGCCATTAAGAGTCATAGGTCTTCACCAAACCTGAGATTGTATTTTGAAATAATATATTAAAATCATCAGAAATTTTTCCTGGTCAAAATGCTTTGCTAATGTTTACACTTATAATCCTCATCTCCTCCTTTTCCCTCTACTGCAGCCTTTCCCGTCTGGGGAGCAAGAGAGCCAAATGTAGATTCAGCCTCATTTCTTTGGAGTGAACCAACTCCTTAACTCTCCGCTGTTTTGCTTCCCACTCAATGTCTGGCTACACAGTCTAGAAAAGTGAGCAGGCAATACTCACTCTGCTGCCATTTCCTCCCCTTCCAAGTCCCCCCCCACAGCTTGTTAACTTCCCATTATAAGCTACATGAGCTTTTGCACAGCTGTTTGCATAGGAAGATCTTGTCAAGCAGTCCAGCTCCCTGGAGCCAGCATCAACGTCAGGGAGGTGACAAAAGGCCAAGGCCAGAATTCAAGGAAAGCAGCATGGCAAAGAAATTCTCCTGCTTTCACTCCAGGCACTAGGGAACTGGTTGATTCCATGGAAATCCTTCTTCTCTGCCAATACCCTGTTCTGCAGTGTTTTGAAAAAATGTGCATAAGTTGCCCTGATGATTGTTAACTGTATTTCTTAACACTGAAAGAGGGAATTGCATTAATGCCAGCTTCTGATTTACAGTCATCTTTGTGTAGCATCCTTCTTGCAACTCTTTCCAAACTATAGAGAATGTGTGTATAGAGTGAAATAGTAAAATGAGTCTTGGAATGGGAAGCTGGCTTCAATCTGACCTGTGTAGAGCAGAACACATCTAGCAGATGTAATACCTTCTGAATGTTTTAGAAACTAAGCAGAAATATTTCTATAGAGGTTTGCTACAAAGTGGCAAGCTGTCATTAAGGTGAAGAGTTATGGGAGGTTGTCCATGTAGATGGAGTTGCTGAGGAGACTCTTGTACTCCTGTGGAGATACTGCAGAAAACCATACAGGAATAATTGAAAAGAAACTGATGCTTGAAAGAAGAGAGATTTTCGATAGCTGACTGGAACAATGAATATAGGGATTAAAAAGTGAGAAGGAGAATGAAGTTCTATTGTTTCCAGGATCCAATGGAAGAAGTAGATTGGACCTGCTGTGCTTGTGACAGTTCTATGTGAAAACAAGTAATAGAGTTCTGCATGAACTGCAGTTTGTGGACAGCAAAAGAGTTTATTTTTCTGTATACTTTCCTAAGACTCATTTTCTGCTCTTCTCTTTCCCCCACAAACAGGATATATTTAATCTTGATTCTGAGGAAGTAAAATTTCCCACTTGTGGAATAATAGTATTTTTTCAGCTCTAGAGAGTTCACAGGTTTTAACATAAATTATATAGATAGAAATTACCTGATAGACTCTAATGTTGGACCTTACCTGAATGTTTAAAGGTTCAATAAGGTGAACTTATAGTGTCCACTGTGTTTTCAGAGCTGTATGGTTTTGATGTCCTTATTGATGACACTCTCAAGCCCTGGCTGTTGGAAGTGAACCTATCCCCATCGTTGGCCTGGTAAGTGATTCCCAGTTTAGTATGAGGCCAGGATTGTTGCTAGAGATAGTTGTCCTTGAAACTTGTGGTCCTAGAAGGGCATGATTTCATGATTCCTGCAGAGTATTTGTCCTACTGCTAATTGACAGAGAGGATAGTCCTTTGCTTTTCCCTTTGCATAAACAAATGTATTGCAGCAATAGTTTTTGAAAGAACCCGGTTGGGATTCCATTTTCTTTTTAATTATTTCTCCTCCACAGTCCATCATCATTGTTAACACTTCATAATCTCCCATCATAGATGAATTTTGAAACCCTCCAGACTATTGTGTGGGGTTTCAATCTGCTTGGCTGAAACTTTAAGACTTTGGAGTCCAAGTAGAGCTCAGACATTATGCTTGATTTGAGTACGTAGATGTATGCTTGGGTTCAAATTTTTTGTCTAGTACTCTCTTTAGCTAAAAATCTGAAGAGTGAGTGTTGTTTTGTCCATTATGCTGAATTTGAGGATTTATTTTTGTAGATCTTCAACTATATGTGTCTTCTGGACTACCGTTTAACTTTACAGCACAGCTGCACAATACACTATTGTAGTACTGTGAATAATATTTCAGTTATGATGGTATAAATACGGTTTAAGTTATATGTTCCTGGAATAGCCATATCTGACCTTCCCCTTGATTTTTTTTTTCTACTTCTTCTTTATACTGCATAGACATTTTTTCAAACACTGTTCATAACCCTAGCTGCTACAGTACCCATTTTGTTTTCAGGTGCAACTAGAATGTTTCCACAACATTTAATTTCCTGGTTTGGTGGCTTGTGCTCATATACATAGACACTGAATTATTTGCACCCTTTACTACTTAAAACTCTAACTCACATCTGCATCATTTGCTTTGTTTTGATTGCCATTTTCTTTGTCCAAACTGTTGTCATCTATCACTGTGCTGTAGAACATGGCTGATTCCTCTGCTCCCAAGGAATCAAACTTTGTCTGTCTGATCTGAACTGTATTCATTGAATTTTTCAGTGGGTAAAATTATGGATGCTTCTCATCTGTCCCCACTGTCTGATCTCTTCATATCTATCACCTTCCCTAATCATTTGTTCCCATCCTTTAGAACTAACCTGTCTGATTTTATGATTTTATGTGGAAGAGGCATAGGTAGTTGTGGTTTTTAAGAATTCTGTGACAGCAACCTCTATCTACTCCATGAAGTGTAGCACAGATACATTCAAAGAAAATGTTTCTAGCCAAGCATATCTAAAACAAGGCCATAGGTTGCTGCATTAGAAGACTAAAGCTGTGAAAAAGAATAAACAGAAACAGATTAATCTGTTGCTGGTTTGTCTTTACCTGTGTTTGTGAAAATCACCTAGTTTTCCTCCCATGTTGATTATGTCTGTGTTAAGGACCAATATAAAGAAACTATATTGGAAGATATCTTGGATATTGATGCATTCCTCTCATTTAATGCCAGACAAATAATTCCTCTTGTCCTCTGTTGCATATGGGGATAGTGATGCTCCTTTGGACCTGAAGATCAAAGCTAGCATGCTCTCAGATATGTTCACTCTTGTAGGTGAGTGTTACAAAAAGCTCCTTCAGTCTTTCTCTCATTTAAAACCCATAAAAGGTAGTTTTATGAGCTGCACATTATTAGATGAGTATAATAGAGGAGAAATCTAGTTAAGGAGAGCAACAGTTTTAGCACTAGGAAATTGTATGTGGAAATTTCAGCTTCAGAATAATCTGGTTGCTTGTGGTGCTTTGGTATTACAAGTCCCTAGTTTGGTATTTGAAGACACTACTCTTTCTCTTTAGCGGGTGACTTCTGTTTAGCCCTCAGAATCAGTATTCCTGTTTGGTTTTTTTTTTTTTTTTTTTTTTAGGTTGAATGTATGGGTTCTGGTTAGCCAATGTTAGGAGTGGAGTTATGATTGTGAAAGCTGCATGACAGTCTAGTGCACAGCACCTTTTAGGCATTCCTGGTACATCTTGGTTCAGTTACTTGATTCAATTTACCCGTAATACTAAAAGAGGCAGAGTTGTCATCTGGTAGCCTGCTCAGTGTTTAAGAAATGGAGCCTATCTCTAAGCTGCTATTCAGTAAACCATCTTACTGATTTAAGTACTTGGTTTTGAGCAAGTTCCAGTTTCATTCAAAAAACGTAATGCGATGTACAGTTTGCGATTAAACAAAACAAGGTATAGAAAAGAAAAGCATCCTTTTTTGGTCCTTGGGCAGGGACAGGAAGATCATGTATAGACTGAGGTCATTAACAGGAATGCTAGGTTTATATTTCAGGGTTTGGCAGTCTTAAAGTTCTCATGTGTCTCCTGATGCCCATAGGCTTTGTGTGCCAGGATCCAGGCCAACGGTCAAGCAGGACCTTTTATCATTCATCTGAATCTGTCAGGAGAAATATGTACCAGAAGCTGCAGGTAAGTGACTTCAAAAAGCCAGAGCTGAAGAGGATAGCAGGGAAGTCGTTCTCATTGGATTTGGCTCACAGGTGAGAGAGCCAAGGAGTGAGGTTATTTGGATTTCTAGCATACCTACAGAAGAAACTCAGGGGATGCACCTGAGCTATGGGCTATTCAGCCACTTTTGTTTTGTTGTGGACAACAAGCTTCCAGAACCCTAGAGCTTTATGAATGTCAAGACCTTCTTCTAGGCAGAAAGAGCCTTTTGCGTTTGAAATTTAAGGCTTCTTTCCCATTCACTCCTGGAATATCTCACTTTCTTTCCTGTGGATCCTTGGACTGGGGCATTATGTGGCTAGCTGTGACTGTCCATTACTTTTTCTGCTGAGATAGTGCTTTCTTAGTACTGTAATGCCGAAGGACAGTTTTTCTCTATCTCTTTTTGGCTGGGATGGATTCTAAAAATATCTATGGAAGTGGAGCACTCACAAAAGACAGGGAGTTCCCCTATGTCATTTGGACTTTCAAATGCCATTTCTCCTCAGTCAAATAGGCAAGCGGTATATCTTGACACTCTCTGTAGCTGATGCATATGCTCCTGTGAGGGACATGCAGCATGGCTGTATAGCTCAAGTTCAGTTAGGAAATGGAAAGTTGTTTTTGTTCAGTGGCAGAGTACCAATACACTGTCCATTTTGGCATAGAGGAGACTCACAGAAATTGCAACGTTTTGCTCCTTGTAAAACTCTGAGTCTTGAGTCACTAGGAGAGAGGTGAATAGCTGGTAAGGTGAGATTTGAGTATTTATAGGATGTATGGCTAAGTCCAAAGCTTCTAAGGCCAATTTAATAGATAGGATTTCATACAGATCCCTCTGACCATAAAGGTGGTCTTTGTGACAGACAAAAGGTATGTCAGATAAACTAGGAACCATTCCAGAAAAAGTAACCTTTTCTCTTAGAGTAATGTGATCAGATCTTGATGATTTGATGTCTTTTATCTTAATTTATACAAGACAGTCTCAGAAAATTGATCTGTTGGGAAGCATTGAATTTTAAGGAGGCTTTAAACTTAGAGATTTATTTTGCCTGAAAAACCCACAAATAGGTGTAAGACCTGGCCAGTTGAAATGTGCAAAGATTCATATGTCAGAGCAATGGTTATGAGACAGGATTCACTTATCTTTTGGGACAGGTGTCCCCCTTACCTGTGTTTGCCAGGAATGTGCTTATAATCTAGTGATAAAGTTTTATAGCATGTTTTTCTTAAGTACCTAAATGGAAAACCCACGGCTAAATAGTTGTATAGATCTTTACATGCTTCAAGAATGGTTTGGCCTGCTCTTTGCTGAATGTATTTTATTTTAGATTGTTGGATCTTTGATACTTCTGTTCGCAGTCACAGTTGCAAAGGGTACTTTGAACCTCTTTTGTTTTTCTTAACACCTTTGTGATGTCTGAAGTTTTGATAGTTCATGTAGGCTATCTTTAATCACTGTAAAAGCTGCTTCTTTGGAAAGATGCTGATACCAGCATTCTTGGTCATGAGATAGTTATTCTGTTTTCTGAGTTTCAGCAGACTGGACTTCAAGTTCCTTTTGCAATTTCTTTGGTTTGACTCTGATAATTTCTCCCTCTAGGGAAATGAACAATTTAGCTGATTCCTTTGTAACTTATTGTTGATTTGGGTTGGAGCTCTTTCAATTAATCATAAGCAATAAAAGAACCTTGACCTGTTTTGTATAGACCAACTGTAGAGAAGAACTTGGCAGTAGTACAGCAAGAAATGATAGATAGGTCTCTTGAGAATCCTTTCTTACACCATTTGCTCCTCTTAGGCAGTGGAGAGGAGGAAGGCAGCCTGAATACCACTGAAGGCAAGAAAAATCTAAACTCCTACGATAATAGTTTTATTTTGAACGTACCCCTGTCATTAAACTGATCTTTCCTGTAGGCCTGATTCCAGATAAGTAATACAGAATACTTTTTGACATTCTATTGATGTTTCTTACACCTGTTTTGGAATGTTAAATAGAATCTTGTTTCTTGACAAGAACTGAAATATTGTTGAGATATTTAAATGAAATGGCTTCTGGAATTTCAGGACTTTTACTATTTTTTTTACCCCTTCCATTCTATGAACAATTCTACTTGACATTGTCTGATTCTCCTTAATATGTAGCTATTTAATATTTTCCTTTCTTATCTTACAAAAGTATGAATTTTGATCAATGGAGTTGAGTTCATTAATCCATTCTGCAGAGCTCTTTTCTGTGTGCTTTTGAAAATTATGTATATGTCCAGATGCATTCTGCACAGCTGAGCCCATCTGAGGTTAAGATTAATGCTGTGTTTGGAGTGGGGACAGGATACATTTGTGGAGGATACGAGGAAAATCTGAACTGAGAGGATGGAAACTGTTAGATATATCTGTGGACTCCCTTTTGCTTTAGGGCACTCACCATTCCTTTGCAGTGTGGTTAGGGATGCTAATGTCTTGGAGAACACAAGGTTTATATTCTCTTTGTGTGTCTTTTGCAGCGTCCTGTGTCTGCGCAGTCGCAAACAGCAAACACCAGATTGGTAAGTACCCTTCAGCTCCCTTCACCAATATAAGGGATATAATTTCAAATGTTACCTTGTACAATACTTCTGGCACAATTGGTCCCAAAATATATTTTGCAGCCAAATAGCCTGGTGGGGAGGGAAATCAACAAAGAAAGAGGAGATGTATAGGTACTGGTGTATGATTCCATGTGGCAAGAGTAAAGGTTGGAATAACATTTACATCAGTTCTAGCAACCTAAAAAAAGAGTAGGTGAGGTGTGCTGAGAGTGAAGGTCAGCTGGGTCAAATCCCTCAAAGTTTTTAAGCCTACATGTATTTCTAAACTGCATTTTAAAGAAATGGGATATAGATGTTTAAAGATAAAGCTGTCAATCTGATGCTCAAATGATGAAGACAGTGACAGCACAGTGTTCTGGATTTGGTAGCTTTCCTTTGAAAAGGAAAGTTCAAAACCAAAGGAAGAGCTGGTGAAGGCAGCAGCAAAAAGGAGTGTCACACCAAAAGGGAGGAGGAGGAGGAATTTTTGTCTTATGTGCTACAGGGGATGGAATAAGTCTGAATGAAAAGGATAGCACAGGTGAATCTGTATTGACAAAATTCACGTGGTCCTGTAAGAGAAGTAATTATTTTCTGTGAGACAGTCATCTGAAGGAAACTGCAAAAATTTGAGAGTCAACTGGGTCAAAATAGATACAGAGATAAGAAGGATTTCTTAAAGGTAATGGAAAAGTGTAGAATTATCGTTAGCATAAGTTAGACTGATCCACCTTTCTACATGTCATATTTGGCACCCTTCTTGCGAGCCATATGGACAAATCAATGTTAGTTTACTATTCTAAGCACCTGGTTGTATAGGAACACTGTAAGCATTATTTTGTGGCTGGGCTACCTGCATTAACATAATAGTGATGATTCTAATTTTTTTTGAGGTTTCCCAGCAGGAAGGAAGGTAGAACAGATGGAATCATCTTGAGAACCTAATTCATTCTATGCACTGCCGTTTATGTCATTCTGTGTAAGTTTAGCTGAGGCTAAGAGAAAATAGTCTTATTGAATAATGAGGTTTCATAGAAAATAGGAAGTTTTGTGCCAGCTGCTGTCAGTGCTTAGTATAATTAGAATCATGATGTGGGAACCAGAGATGCTTGCAGAATTTGGAGATAAAACAAACTGGTTGGGTTTATCTATACTTTTAAAGATAAGCTGGGTCAAGGAGGAAACAAGATCTTTGTGAAGTTGGAGACATTTCTGTGCTACAGCCAGAGACAAATCTGCAGTGAAACTCTGAAAAAAGCATTTATACAGGAAGTTCAGTAAACTTAGAGTTTTTCTCTAGCATTTTGACAGTAGTATAGTTTATTCTCAGCCATATGCCAGAGCTACACTAGTTGTAGGAGGCAGAGATGTCAATATGTAGGCATACATTTTCTGTTTGGAAATAATCTCCACTGTAACAAGACAATAGAGATTATTTCATTGAAGTATTTTCTTAGTAAAGGAGATCATCTGATAGGATGAAAAATTTCCTGTAATAGTCTCTTTGAGCAGCAGTTCTCACATGATGATTGTTATGGCAGTGTCAGGAAATGTTTTTTAAGAAGAGGTTACCTAGCAGGAGATTTTAGAGGAAGTTATTACACGAAGTTGATGAGCTGTGCTTTTGAAACCAAGGAAAGCTTAGGAAGAAAGATTAAAAGCCTTTCAGCTTAATGCCATCTACAGCATCAAACAAACCAGTTTGACTACTGACATTTTTATTTCTTCTGCAAATGCTTGTGTCTCCTACCTTCTCATCCAGATTGTCTCATTTTCTCTTGTTTTATTTAATCAGTTTTCATTAGGCTTAACAAAGTGTTTAAGCTGGCCCCAGCTATGTCTCTTTTCTCTTTGGATCCTTCTGTGCCAATCACTGCAGTGCAGTGTAACATATTCTAATGCAATGCCTATTTCTCTTACAATTGATTCATCTGCAGATTCTGAATAGCTGCTTGCAATTTCTAATGAAACAGAGTGAATGGAATTACATTCCAATAGTCCTTACAAATAAAGATACAACCTGATCTTGCCATGACTTTTATTTGTATCTGAGTAGTATGGGATATTCTCCTAGGCTTATACATCTCAAGGTTTTTGTCATATTTTTCTCTTCTTTCTTGATTAAGAAAGCTCTCTGTGCATTCTTTGCTCAGTATAGTGCTAAAACAAAATTTGAATTTTGTTTAAAGGCATGAGACCTTCTCAGCTAGACTCTTTTAATGCTATTTTTACAGAGGTAGTTTATCTGAACCAGGCCTAAGACCATGTCGTGGTTTCGGCCTGATTGACAGCCAACCACAATGCAGCACCTCTCTCTCCCTTCCCCTCCGGCAATGAGAAGGGACAGAGAGCCAGGCTTGGGGTTCAAGATAGGACTGGGATGGGGGAAAATCCCCCTTTTATGATCATGAGCAAAAGGCAGACTCGTTAGGGGAAGAAAAAAAAGAACATACATTTATTACAGACACTAACAACACATAACAGAGTAGGACAGTGAGAAGCATTGCCACATCTTGAGAACACCTTCCCCCCACTCCTCCCTTCTTCCCGGGCTCAGCTCTGCTCCCGATATCTCTCCCTCCTCCCCCAGGGGCGCAGGGGCAGGGAATGGGGGGTGCAGTCAGTGCTGCCACTTCCTTCATCTTCGGTGAGGGGAGTGTCCAAAACTTGTTACCCCCTGCTCCATCGTGGTCCCCCTCTCACAGGAGACAGTCCTCCACAAACTTTCTCTGACTTGAATTCCTCCCATGGGCCGCAGCGTTCCCCACACTGCTCCGTCATGGGTCACCAACTTCCTCCGACTGGATTCCCTCCCACGGCTGCAGCCCTTCCCGAGCTGCTCCGGCGTGGGACTCCCCCGCATGCTGCAATCCTCCCAGCACTGAATTACAGCAGCGGGGCTACCTTTTTCCATGAGACCCCGGCCTTCTTCGGGCACAGAACCTTGATCAGCCGAGCAGGAACGACAGGCTGTAAATCAATGTCTGCTCCACCGTAGATCTTCATGGGTGGCAGGGGGGGGCCGCCCTGCCGTCTCACCACAGGATACAGGAGGGTCTCTGCTCCGGCACACCTCCCCCCTCCTTTCTTCCTCCGTTCCTCCACTGACCTTGGTGTTCACGCAGCTGCAGCAACTCCTCCTCACCAGTCCGACTGCCCGTCACCACGTCCCTTCTTAAATACGTTATCGCAGAGGCGCAGCTGATTGGCTCAATTTCCCAAACAGAAGTGGAGCTTCGAGAAGCTTCTCACAGGGGGCCGCCCCTATAGCCCCCTCCCCTGCCACCAAAAAACTCCACCACTCACTCAGCCCAGGACATTCCACCCCTCGCCTCTGCGAATCACATATTTAAGAATTAAGAGATCCAACATTCAGTACAGAAAACAGTATACACATCAACATCAGAACAAAGAGTAGGCAAAACCAGACTGAAAGGAACTTCCCCACACCCATATACTGACAGAATACTGAGACACAATACAGAACATCCACCCATAGTCCCTTCACCACACCTGAAAAAAAAAACTTCCCCACAATTACAACTACAGACATTACAGAGATCATTCCACTAACGGAGTTCAGTCTGTATTTTGCTCATTACCTCTCCCAATTAATATCCTTATCAAATCGCAACCCTCTACCCCACGTTGGGCGCCAAAAAACTGTCGTGGTTTCGGCCTGATTGACAGCCAACCACAATGCAGCACCTCTCTCTCCCTTCCCCTCCGGCAATGAGAAGGGACAGAGAGCCAGGCTTGGGGTTCAAGATAGGACTGGGATGGGGGAAAATCCCCCTTTTATGATCATGAGCAAAAGGCAGACTCGTTAGGGGAAGAAAAAAAAGAACATACATTTATTACAGACACTAACAACACATAACAGAGTAGGACAGTGAGAAGCATTGCCACATCTTGAGAACACCTTCCCCCCACCCCTCCCTTCTTCCCGGGCTCAGCTCTGCTCCCGATATCTCTACCTCCTCCCCCAGTGGCGCAGGGGCAGGGAATGGGGGGTGCAGTCAGTGCTGCCACTTCCTTCATCTTCGGTGAGGGGAGTGTCCAAAACTTGTTCCCCCCTGCTCCATCGTGGTCCCCCTCTCACAGGAGACAGTCCTCCACAAACTTTCTCTGACTTGAATTCCTCCCATGGGCCGCAGCGTTCCCCACACTGCTCCGTCGTGGGTCACTAACTTCCTCCGACTGGATTCCCTCCCACGGCTGCAGCCCTTCCCGAGCTGCTCCGGCGTGGGACTCCCCCGCATGCTGCAATCCTCCCAGCACTGAATTACAGCAGCGGGGCTACCTTTTCCCATGAGACCCCGGCCTTCTTTGGGCACAGAACCTTGATCAGCCGAGCAGGAACGACAGGCTGTAAATCAATGTCTGCTCCACCGTAGATCTTCATGGGTGGCGGGGGGGGCCGCCCTGCCGTCTCCCCACAGGATACAGGGGGGTCTCTGCTCCGGCACACCTCCCCCCTCCTTTCTTCCTCCGTTCCTCCACTGACCTTGGTGTTCACGCAGCTGCAGCAACTCCTCCTCACAAGTCCGCCTGCCCGTCACCACGTCCCTTCTTAAATACGTTATCGCAGAGGCGCAGCCGATTGGCTCAATTTCCCAAACAGAAGTGGAGCTGACGTGGAGATGGGGGAGCTTCGAGAAGCTTCTCACAGGGGGCCGCCCCGATAGCCCCTCCCCTGCCACCAAAAAACTCCACCACTCACTCAGCCCAGGACATACCAGCTAAAATGTATTTGAGAACCTGTTCAAAGATTTCAGTCTTGTTGGGATTTTATAATCTTGCTAGCTTGAAGACACTTTGATTACCTGACCTTTGTTAGAATTGATCAGGACTGCTCATCAGGTTAAGAATGAGCTTGGAGAGACTGTCTGCAAGTTATTTCTTTTCTTATTTTAAAAATTTGCGTATGTATGCAAGTTTGCATGATGTATCTATGTACCTATACAAGATCTGTCAAGTGTGAGAAGTAGCAAGTTGAGATCCAGCAGTATAGTAACACAAGAGTAACAGGTGGTGAACTGAATTTTTAACTTTTTCCCTGCAACTTTATCTCATCGGTGAGTTACAGTTCTGTTCTACTGTAGCAACACAACTGGAACAGAGAATCATGGTTCTGGTACCACTGAGGTGTGAATCCAAGTGTATTTGGGGCTTGTGAGTGTAAATGCTGGCTCTAGTGCCTCTTAGGTGAGGAATTTTCTGCATGAAGTACTGGCTTTGGTGCTTTTGGGTTTGTCTCATGTTTTTCTGGAAGGGACCAGGGTGTAAATACTGGCACTGATGCCTGAATTGTGAGTCCTGATGTGCTAAAAACTGGGATTGTGAATACTCACACTTGGAGCCTGCTGGGGTGTGGAGTCTTCAACAGCTGGAGTGTGGAATTGTGAATTGTGGCTATAGTACTTTGGAGTGTAGATTCTGCTGGGAATGAGGTCTTGGAATTTGAATGTAAATTTTTTTTTTTAAGTAAGTTGAGAAAGGAAAAGGGAAAAATCTGGATTCACACTGTCTCTACAGCGTACCCGTCCTCTGTCTGCTAGTGATGCTGAAATTAAAAACCCAGTGACCTCAGGGAAGGAAAAAGCAACAGGAAGGCAAGGCACTTCTGTGCTAGGTCTCTCCATGGAGGAGGTAAGTCAGCTTATTAAATATCTTTTATTTACCTTAGCTTTCACGCAATATATGGGGTTATTTGCTCAGCAAAGAGCAAGTGCAAGTATATGAAAAACATGACAGAAGAAGTTTAATTTTTGAAACAGAACTACTGAGTTTTACTGCTGGTACTGCCCTTGCCCTCAGTTATGCCAGGCAGACAGACATATGTGCTCCAAGCAGTAATAAACCCTTTCAGAATTTAAATGCAAGATAAAGTTGCTTAAGGATATCATATGTACCCAGCCCACTCTTAGGACTACTGTAATAGTCTTGTCCTCTGAAACTCAGAGATTTTTCTAGGGTTCATTCTTCATTGTATTTTCCTAGCTATTTTTTTTCTCTTTTTATTCCAAGATAAAAGTTCTTCGTCGCGTGAGAGAGGAGAATGAACGGAGAGGAGGCTTCATCCGGATATTCCCTACCCCATTAACATGGGACCTTTATGGGTAAGAATAAAAATCCAATAAGATGGCTCAGTGTTGCACTGATGCTCTGTGTTGTGGGATATTCTGTATTAGGTATATGTAGATCAACTAGTTTAGCAGTCAGAAAGACATGTACTGAGGGTTCTGGTAGAGTTTCTTTTAGTGTTGAGGATGCTACTGCTTTGCCTAACCGTACCTTATGGAAGGCTATCGAGCATTGTTTCTGATGTTGCTTTTCTTTCAGAATAAAAATGTCTTCAGATAATCCATTCCGGCTATCTGCTTTTACATCCTAGAGTTGCACATACTGTGTACTCTGTCACTAGGCCATAAACACAATATAGGACTCATCCAGTGAGTGATACTATATTACGGTTTTCTAATTTTTTTTCCAGTCTGTAATGTTTCTTTGTGTCTCTTGGCTTACCAGGAGCTTCAGCTGAGAAGTGTTAGCTCTATTACCTTCCTCTTTTCTGTTATGGTACAGCATATTGTGTCAATCCAGTTCTGGGATGTTTTCTATAGATCATTTATTTCTGTATTCTGCCTTTCATTGTGTTTAGCTTGATCTCAATACATCTTGTATTTTGTTTTTCTAGATCCTTTTTAGAGCACAAGACTTCAATGAACTACATGCTGGCTACACGTCTGTTTGAGGACAGGTAGAAAGCTTTTCTATTGGGAGGGAGGCAAAGGTCACAGACAGAGTGAAAGGGATTGATTCCTCACTTATCCAATGTTACAAACACTGGTGTGTGATTTACAGGGGTGGTGATAGTTGTGCATGTCTTCTCTAATGTGCCAGTGACTGTGAAGGTTTCTCACATTTTCACATGTTGCACTTCTAAATCCAAGGGCAAAAAGGACAATACACAAAAGCTATGGGAGTCATTGGAGTGAAAGAATTACTATGGACATGGAAATCCGTCAAGTGCCTAGGTTTCTCTATGAAGGGATTGTATGTGGTCCTTGCTTACCTTTTGTTTCAAATTTAAAGTCACATTAGAGCTTGTCTTCATGTAAAGTAAGCACTGAAATTTACTCCAAAGATTTAGTAACCCTATTTCTTGACCTGTGCAAGCATGATTTGATGTCTTTTTCTCTGGGTTGTTCTTGGGTGGAAATGACAATTCATGCCACTAGCTGAACTTCCATTGGGAGTTCTACGCAATATCTTTCACTGTATGTTTGACACCCTTCCTTCTCAACAGTTTTTCTTACCCAAATTTGAAATCCACAATAAAGTAACTACAGAGTAAGGATGAAGCGGCTGACTGAGGAGGAGACAATATTTACAGAAGCTCTTCCTGCATCAGCACTGTACAGTTTTTTGGGTATTTTTTGCTGTACACTTCCAGGGATGTGACTGGTGGGTAACTCCAAATGACACATTCTCCAAGTTAAGCCATACAGCTGCAAGAATTGGTTGTAGAACAGCTGCTCAGATTTTTTCTTTTGGAGCCTTTTTTTTTTTCTCCTTTAAGATAGAACTTACAAGGGATTCTGTAAATTTGGCCTTTCTGTTGTACATATGAAAGACTTTGGAGGCTTGTTAATGCAGCAGATGATCCAGAATGGAATGTAATTTTTGCTGGTTTTCCCTTTGTAGGGGTAAGATGAAAAGAGACTTCATCACTGGGAGATCCCGGTAAATGGCTTCTTACATAATTTGTGCTTTGTATGATTTATTCTAAATCTAGATTTCCACAGCTTCCATCTTTCAAGTCCTGGGTCAACACCTTTTCTACCTTAAATCTGTCAAACTAACTTTAGAAAAGTAAATACAGTGAGCAAAGAGTATCCCAGCATGAGGAGAGGATAAGTTTTGTTAGATTAGACCTTAAAATTGCTCCTGTTTGGCTTCCTACTGTGGCATTCCTGCCATATTGATGAGCCTCATCATTGAGCTGTCTCAGAAGATCTCATCATGCATAAGGTTTTGGATTTCATACACCCATCTATTCGCTTCGCTAGATCTAAAAGATAAATGGAGCAACAGGAGTTTTCTGTGTAAGTTCCCACTTAGATCATAAAGAGTACTTTGCTGGATCTTTGTGCACAGACAGAAAGTTGTTATGTTTGTCTCCCTTAACTAATCTGGCAGGGCTCCTTCTCCCTTGGTTTAGGCAGAACTTGTAGAAAGGTTGTAATTTTTCACTTAGATTATGTTAAAATTCTTATTTCTGACCAAACAGTGAAGAACAAGCTGTCTACATAAAAGTTTCAGAATACTGGCCTCGGGTCTGTGTGCTCTCTTCCCACTCCCCTCCATTGTTTTGTATTCTTGCAATTTAATTTTCCTTATTAATTGTGCCTTGAGCTGCTGCATGGTGTACAGATGCTGCTCGGTTACAAAAGCACCACACTAGATAAGTACATTTTGGGGCTCTGAGAAATGATGTTCTGTCAAGTACTTGCAAGACTCCTTTCAAATATTTGCAGGCTTTAAATAGAGCAAAGTTAGACTGATCATAAATATTTCTTCCTTGTGTTAGGAAAACTGTTTTGTGAAGAAATTTAATCTACTAATGTCTCGTGTATCATCAGGGAGAGAAGTATAAAGGGAGATTGAGCATGTCTCTTTATTACCCTTCCCAGAGCAGGTCTTAATGGAAGGCTGGATATGAGGCTGGAAGCTGTAGACTCTCATGCTCTCTTTTATGAGAGAAAGCTTGTTTCACTGGAGTTACGGAAGCGCCGGCGATGTCATGGCAAGGCTAGAGCAGCACGAACACGATCATCAGGTATGCATGATTAGAGTCTTAGGTGAGCAGCTAGAGAAAAACAAGCAAGCAAAGACTTTTAAATTTGAAATGTGTGAATTGAGGTTGTTCTGGCCTTTGTAGTCCCTAAAGAGATTCACAGGTTGAAGTTAATAGTTTTCATTTCAAATGTTAATATTCACATTTCATTCCTCTTCTGAGATTCCTGCCTTCTTAGTGCCTAGAATTTAATTCCCACCATTCCACATCCCTATGTATATGACTAAAGGTAATCAATATTTTCTTGAAGATGAGCTTGCAGTTATATTTTGGGTACAAGAATTCAGCAGTATGTGTGCCTCTACAGTCCTCCAGTTTTTCAGAGAAAGATGAAAACTTGGGACCTTCCAGGCTGGTTCTCTTACGCAGCAGTGACTCTTAAGCTGTTGAAAAGAAAGAAATCCTTCTTATCCAAGCTGATGTGGGAAAAACTTAAAAGGGTACAGAGGTGAATGATCCTCACAAGTGGCTGTTCCTGAAGCTGTTATCTAAGCTCTTTCTAGTAGCTATGTGGTACTGACTGCAATGGGAGAGATTGTATGATATAAAATAATTTTTGGTGCTATGTTATGTGATCTTTATTGGCACATGTGGAAGTTTAGATTTCGTAGCTTTGTTTTTTCTGACACACAAAAATATAAAAATTAGTATATATGTCAAGTTTGAGTGTATATATATGTCAGCGTATATGTAAAAATCAGGATAAAATACAGGAAAATGCCCTTGTTTTATTTGATTTTTTTTTCCCATTTGTAAAGTTAAGACAAGAATATTGGTTAGTCTTCTCTGATACTGGGAAAATGGGCTTCTCAACTGTTTGATACACAAGCAGAAAGACAAAGATTAATAAAGAGCAGCGATACTTAAAATGCTATTCTCAAATGATGGCGTTCTGTCCTAGCAGAAAAGAGTTTAGAAGTAAACCAAAGGGTATAAATAGCAGGACAGGTTTCCCCACTTCTTTTTTACTTAACCAACATTGGTGATTTCTCCTCTACTTCAGGGACATCAGAACCAACAAAGCTGTCCCTCAAGTCAGACACAGAAGGTGAGGAGGAAGAGGAGGTGGATGCAGATGAAGATGAAGAGCTAGATAGAACTGTTGGCTCTCTTTCGGACACCCAGGTGAAAAGCAAGCCAAAGCTCTCTGACTTGGTGAAAACTACTTGTAAGGAGAGGTTACCAAAAACACTTGACAAGAAAACTGGAAATGGAAAAGAGCTGTTTCTTCGAAAAAAAGACTCAGAATCTCAGTTTAACTTGCTGCAGATTCTTCAAAAGCATGGAAACTTGAGGTGAGAGATTTCTGCATATTGCCTTGAGTTTTGACTAGCAACTATTATTGGTTAAAATATGGAGGATTTACACTTGGTGCCACATTATGAATGAGTGTGAGGAGATAAGAGGTCCCTAGAGAAAGAGGCCTGGATTTTTGTCTAACTGTGGGTTGCCATAACAGCTAGTTGCCACAGAAGGGAGATAGTTTACCTAAATGCCTGACCTGTTGGATCAATATGAAGCATAAGCAATAGTTTCCTTTGCTATTCTTTAATCTGGTGATGTAAGCTGTTCTTTGGTCAACTTGGGCTTCTAAAATGCCTCTCTGTCTTAATGCAGGGAGCCTACTATTCTAAAATTTGTATTTTCCTTCTTTGCATTTCCAGTGAAGTGGCTATAAACATATGTTAAACTATTGAAGAAAGGTTGGGTAGGAATACCTCGGTGCTTACCCTCCATAAAACTACTTTTCTCATTTTTGTGCTTTTTTTTTTTTTTGATAGAAATTTAACCTCTAATAATAATCTCTGATCAAGGTCATCACCACCTGAGAGCAAGATAGGAGATCATTTGAGAGTGACAAGTTATTGAAACATCTCATTGCCTGCTGTTGAGTATGACAGCGTGGAGCAGAGTATGTTCTGATGTGTGGCTCTTGCCTGAAAAAAGAGAGGTGCTGGGGGAGATTCTATAGAATAATAACAACCAGGGTTCTACTCGATGTTTAGAAGCGTGATTCTCCCCTTAAATGTGGGTAGTAAAACTGTCTACCTGCAGATGGACAGGAAGGGCAAAAAGCAAGACTGATCATATGTATCTGTGTAGGAGGATTTTACATTTTCTAGATAAGAAGCATTATGTTTTCTGTGAAAAATAATTCTTCTCCAAAGGTAGAGAAAATAACTGTTGCTTGTTATTGCTTTCTTAGTTTAGTTTCTGAGAGGATTTATGAATTGTCAAATGGATTTGAGGATTATTCTGATGTCTTCTTGTGGCAACGACATTTGTTGTCATGATAGGGATGATTTTGAAACGTGTTTTGAGGATGAACCATAGCAATGCTGTCATCTACTTATATATAGAACTGACGCCTGCCAAGAGCATAAGCTCTGTCTGGTGTTCCTGGCAGAATCTTGCTCAGCACCCAGTACTGTTGGGATTCCCCACAGAAGAGTGTAAGGCTTGTGGTGACTCATGTTCCAGGATTGTGCTGGGTTTGGCCCCATCTAATCTGTCATTGATGAAGGCTTTGATTGTGGGGTCAACAGGCAGAGGAGCTGAAGTAATGAAATTTTCATCCAAAAGAAATCAGGCCTGTTCCAGTAAGTTTTTGTAAGTGGTAGGACTTCTCTCTCCTTTAGTCGGCCTGATGAGGCAATTTCTCTGTCGTCTCCATGTTGGGCGTTACTGGTGAAGAGGTGACAGTCAAATGAAATGTGTTCCTCCAACTGTGCTGTTCCCAGGGAAGTAAGAAGAAAAGGAAGTTACTTGTTCCTGCGTTTAAGGCCTCAGGTTTCAATATTCCACACAGTGGAGGACAGGCAGTGTTATACATGGACCTTCTTCAGTTTCCCATTTTGTAATCACAAAAGTATCAGGTGCAGACCAAGAATTGTATTACTGTGCTGATGTTGATAATGGGGGGCGGTCCTTACTTCCTAAAAGCACAAATCTTGAACTCCTGGTCATAAGATGTTTGAGTTACACCTAAAACAAACCTGGCAGCCTTAGATACCCTTCAGAGGAGAGACTTTTCTGATATATCGTGGTCTAATGTATAGATTATTTGTTCTTAGTCAGAGTTTAGAGTGTTCTCCTAATGTTCTACGCATGTGAGAAGAGAAGGTAGGTGTGGTGACCAGCAGCATACAGAGATTAGAGGTGTTATAAAGCCTGCTGCGCATTGTGGAGTTCACTGGAAGACACAAATTGAACCAGGTATTTTTACCATGTTTTAATTACTGCAGTACTGGTACAGCTATCCACAGAGGATGTTATTTTGAAACTCTTGTGAACTCATTTGCTTAGCCCCTCTTTGGGTCTGGCATGGTCTTCCAGAAGCATCAAAAGCTAATGATTAAGCACATGCATGAATACTTCTAATGTGTTTTATTTTAACTTCAAGTCTTACCTAAACTGATGCACTGATCTCTGACAGTGCTACTATGTTGTATGATTTCTATGGAACGCTGTAACAAAGTGTTCATGGAATTTGCAGACATATAAAACAGGAAGACTAAATTTCTGGGCAGAGTTTTTAATGAAATTTCAGGGACTCATGTACCTGAAAGTCATGAGGACCATATACGTATCCGAGAATATTCCTAAGAGGCAGAGAATAAGTAGAGAAAAAATGGTGAGGTTTCTCAAGAATCAGTCTGAGGCTAATTTTAATAATCCAAGAATGACAGAAAATGTAGAATGCTAATGAAATTTGCTGATGGAAAAGATTTGGGGATTATTATCATGAGAGAAAACTAGTGGAATAAATATGGGAAGAACTGGATGACCTTGAGGATAGGACTAATATTACTAGAATTAAATTCAGTAGCACAAAGGCAGGGGTGTTCTTTTAAGAACTAGTAATTTACAGCAGGAATTCTATCAACTGTGTGTTCATCAAATGGAAATGAATTATAAGGAAAAATATCTTGCATGTCTGTTGATCATAGGAGGTTTGCGAAGCTCTAGCTCGTGCATGCATGAAAACACCAAATGTGGTCCAGGTTTTATCACATGAGATACTTCTGAGACTGTGGAATATTGTATACATTTGCTATCACCCATGTTCATGGAAGGTAAATTGTGACTGGAACAGGTGGAGATGAGCTGCTAGTCTCATCATGTCACCAGTGTGGGTGCTTTGTTAGAAGACACTGAAAGATGTGGATAGTTCACACTAACAAAATGAAAAGTATGAAAGGATGTAATTGCTGGTAATAAATATATTCAAGGTAGGAGACCTGTCGGGGTGAAATTAAGATACGGGACAATGTTGGAGAAAGAAAAAGCAAATATAAACTGCTCATGAATGAAGCTGGGCTTGGTAGTAAAAGAAGGTTCCTAATTATTAGAACAGTAAGTTCTGGAATAATATTCCAGGAAAGTAATGGGTTGATAATTCTAGTTTGTTTTAAGATGAAACTTGATAATTTTATAGAAAAGATTAGGACATTGCCTGTGATAGAATGGGAATCTGTCACTGACATTAAAGCCCATCTGCTTCTACATTCTTATGAAAAAGAAAGGAGAAATCATGCTTGGCAATTCAAGGGACAGCTTGTAGCAACTATGGGGAAAACTTTGAGGAAGAGTAAAGACTGGGAGAGCAGTGTCAGAGGAGAGGGTTTAGGCCAAGATGACAGTGAACAGAATTAGTCAAAGCTTTCAGCAATTTCTCTCAACACAGATATATACGCTAAAGTGACTACCATTGTGAGGGAATGAGAAACAGTGTGTCCCTCCCAGTCCTACCCTAGTCTTCTCCTCAGTTCATACTCACAGCTTCCCAACATGTTCAGCCAGCTGCACAGCAGATTTTGCTGATGTTCTTTCATTCTTCAGTGGTGCCTTGCTCAATGAAATTTGGCTTGTGTCCTTGGGCCAGCAGGGGAAGAGCTCACTTTCACAGATTTAATTCTTTCATTTCCAATGGGAATTACAGGGTCTTTGTTATAACTCTGGCACCAGTACCAAGCCCTTTATTTATTTTATGGTCTGTTGTTGTGGTGTTCAAAATGCTTGTGAAGACAGAGGCCCAAGAGAGCTTTGAGTTTGGTTTAAAAATACACAGTTTTGCTGATGTTCATGTTATTGGCTTTTGGAGAAGAGTAGCTAAGGCTGCGAAAAGGCAAGGAGAACATTCCATTTTTAGAGATGATCTTAGAGCTTAGAGAGTGTCTGCTGTCTTTTTTATCTCCTGCAATACCTACTTTCTTGGTGAACTGAAGGTCTCCTTGAAAATACTGGTGGGGTGAAGGGGTCTTCCTTCACTAGAATTTCAGCATTTGTGCACCTAGGAGGTCCTTGCTGACTGTACTTTGATCCATAAGCTGTGCCTCATTGCTGTAACTCTTCCCATTGCTATTCTGAAGACAACTGACTGATCCTTTTGGTCCATAGCAAAGTACAAGCTCGCCGGGCTTTCTCTGCCTATCTACAGCATGTTCAGTTGCGACTGATGAAGGAGGCTGGTGACCAGATCCAGAATCCTGCCTGGGCTGCCAAAGAGGATGAACAAATGGTAAGCAGCTCTGTGCTGGCCAGACTGAGAAGCCAAGCTGAAATCTGCCTTGAGAGTTTTGAGGTTGGTTCCCATCCTTGGAAGAAATGAAGTCCAACTGAGGTTATAGTTGTACAGCTGCCGGTGCTGTATTTTTAATATACAGACAGGGTAGGACTGCTGACTGACATCTGGGCAGCAATAGAGTAGACAGCTCTTAATGACTAGAGTGTGACTGACATTCATACTGCTTAGATCTTTCACTGATTCTCCTTCACTCATCTCTGAGCTTACCTGCTTTTGAATTCTCTCTAAGATTCTTTAAGATGACTTAGTATCAGGTTGCTGCTGCCTTAAACAAAGCATATGTTTACTCAAAATAGAACAGGTCCCCAGTTAAGCTTTTTCTCTGTTTCACTCTCTGTAGGCATCTGTGCTTAGGAATCCTCTTTGCATTCTAGATAGACGGAAAAAAAGTAAAAGCCACCGAGGAAAGAAAGTTACTTTCTAGCATAGGTGTTTTTTTTTTTTTTAAAAAAGCATGTGATGAGTTTTTCTAGGCAGTATTTCAAAGCCCTGTACTTGATGTATGTACATTTTAAAGACTGCATCAAGCCCAGATCCCCTCACAAACCTTCCTAAAAGAGCTTTGTATGGTAGGCTTTTGAGCTTTCTGCAAGTCCAAATCTATTCTTGCTGAATGCATGTTAGAGGGAAACAGCCAGTACAGTTCAGAGATAAAATTGTGTGTCAAGAATAATCAGTCGACTCAGTGGAAAATGCTACCCCTGCTCTTTCCAAGTGGAAATTAAAACTGTCTTTTTGAGAGTCACTTTGTCTGCTGTACTGTGAAAAGTAATGTTTAAAATAACAGATCAAACCAGCCTGGAGTAATGGCAGTGAGAGGCGAGCTGTGAAATCCAATAGTTTGGCTGCGAGGCTGCTCATTTATGCATTAGCAGAGCTCCTAACCAAAAGCAAATCCAGAGGGGAGACAGAAAGGGTTCAAAACACCCACAGGATGCACCTCGCATTAGGATCTGCCTTTGCCATATGTTTCCCCCACCAGAGGTCAAACAGATGTGGTGGGGAATTGGAATTATGTAGCTGTAGGTAGGTTGCTCTGGAGAGGCTGTGGCAATAGTATACATAGATGAAAAATGATGAAATGGTACTATATCACTGTAGTGGAGATATTTGACGAAGATCCCCTTCACTGTGATAGCACTGAGTGGGTTTTATATCAGTATATGTCATCACAGGCCTTCTTTAACACATTGCACTTTGTTTTTTGGAAATGTTCTCCTAAGGTATTGGACTCTACAGGTTATTCTGTGTTGTTGATGCTTTTTGCTGCTTGTCTTTTTCTTTTCTTCATCTGCCATGCCTTTCAGACAAACACTCCTCAAGTGTCCCCATTTCTGACCCACCTCAGACAAGGCACACCGTCGTTCTTCTCCCCCAACCTTGGATTTGTAGAGCTATATTAAAAATGCGCACTGAATAATGCTTTTGCCTGCCAGTTGTCAGCTTGTTTTCTTGGACAGTGTGCTTAATTCTTGCTAGTCGCTAGCGGCTATAGTACCTGTGTTCTCTTCTCTCCACATCTTGCAGCTGGTCCCTTGTTAACCCCACCTCTCTTACTTGCAGGAGCTTGTGGTACGCTTTCTGAAGCGAGCTGCCAGCAATCTTCAGCAGTCCGTGAGGATGCTGCTCCCCAGCCGTCGCTTAGGACTAAATGATCGTCGTCGTATTCTTGCTCACCAGTTGGGCGAGTTCATAATCTGTTATAACAAGGTGACTAATTCTTTCTTGATTCTTCTTTTGGTAGCTTTTTTTGGTTTCTTTTCTCTTCTGAAGTATCTCCTGCTGGCTGTTGTCATAGTCAAGGCAGCAGGCTGTTTTACAGGATCTGTTCTGTAATTTACATGGTTTATTTGCAATTGTGCATCCAGTAATGGTAGTTTGTTTGTTCAAATTGTCAGATATACAACTGTATTACTACATTTTCTATGCAGTCCAGTAATAGTGTGTATAGAAGTAAAAGAAGTATTGAAGTGAAGTGGAATTTAACTGTCAGTTTGCTTTTTCTTTGGCTTGTCTTCGATTCTAGTGCTTTGGAATGCCTATTCACATTTCTCCCTATTTTTATGATGCATCTTTAGAGATAATTTTTTTTCTTATACAGAACAGTATGAAATACATATTTTACCATTTATTTGGTATACTGAGGGACTGCTACCTATCTGTAGTATGAGACTCTGCATGCTCAGTGATAAGGAGAAGTAGGTCCTAATTTAAATAATTTTCACCTCTTTAGTTGTAGAAGATGCTGTTCTTAGCATAGTGGTTTCATGCTAATACATGTTTTGCAAGAACAGCTTCCCCTTTCCTTTGCCCCCTAGCATTTCTTTAGTGTTAGAACAAGGATAGTTTAAATTTTGCTTTCAGAGACGGCTGTGCACACAGGCCTCCAAGCTCCTACTCATTAGCAGAGGATGTTCACTTACATTACCTTGTCAGAACTGACATCTGGTAACTTGATCTATCAAAGCAAGGTTAGTATTGAACCAAATCTGTTCCAGAGAGTGCCTTGTATGCCTAATGCTCACTGAATTACTGTGTTAGGAGTAACCACAAAACACTCGGGTGGCTCTGTGGTGAGTGAAGAATGTGGCTTTTTGGATATAATTTCCACTCAAATTGTGTTCAAACATCAGGACTTTCTGCTAACTCTTGAGTAAATTCACAAAATAAAGCTGTGTAACTGGTAATGAAGCAGTGCATAAACATATTTTCTCAGTTAAAACAAGCGAGAACAGATCACTTGAGGTTTTAGGATGTACACGTTTAAGCCATTGAGAGACTCTTAGACTATGAGGTTTTTTGATGTCTGATTCCAACATATAGAATTCTTCACTGACTTTTAACTTCACATTTAGTAGGGGACTTCTACTAGCCGTTATGTATCTTCTGTAATGATACAGAAGAAAAAATACTACCTCCAGCAAACTAAATAAAACAGATCATATATTGTCCAGGATTTTACTTAAGTAGTGAATGGTAGAGACATGTCCCAGAGTGGCTTTTTCTTGAATTATCTTTCAAAAGATGTATGCGGCCCTTTTGTCCTGGGAATGTTCAGAGTACCAGTAGGAAGCAATGAAGCGGAGGTCAAGTTTGGTCAGATAAATCTTGTATGCCGGTATTAGTTTCAGATGGGCCTGTAGGGTTTTTTTAATTAACAAAAATGTTTGTATCAATGCAATCTCTAGTGTCAACATGTTCTGCTGGTGTAAAATACAAAGATCATTTATATCTGAGAGCTTGTTCTTATTCTCACGCACAAAGGCTTACAGTCTTTTATTTCAGTATATTTTAGTGTATAAATGCATATTTGCCACAGGCTGTACTGTTTTACTTTCTTTGCTTTTGCTAAAGCAGTGTATTTTTGGTATGTAGATAAGCCCTCAGCAATTTGCTGCATGACAAGAGAAATTAAATCAAGAGGAGAACTCCTAGTTTACAGTAGGAAATGTGGATACCCTCAGTAGACCTCCTTGATTAAGTTTCTTTAACGTAATTTTGTGGTTTTGTCCTCCTTTCTTCCTGAATATCTCCTTTTAGGACAGATGCTCAAATAAAAGTTATTTTGAGGAACTCTGCGTTTGTGACTGAAACAGCAGAAGTAGAGAGGGGACCTAATACCTGTAACGAATGTTTATTTTTTTTTTCCTCCATACTTCCTTATGTCCCAGCAAAGAGTATATTTGAAGGAGCAGCACATATTTGTGAAGACTTGACCTCTTTTCAGCAAATCAATTCTAATAGGTTATATCAGGTGGAGGAATGAGGAGTTTAGTGTATGCTTAGCATGATATCTCTGGGGCTCTATATTTATCTGTTGTGTTGCACATAGTGAAATAATTATAGTTTGGCACTTCAGAGTTGATGTTCTTTTTGATTAGATCTCATGGAATTGTTTTTTGTCTGAGCTATAGCTATGCCATGGAATGTAAGGTAACTACATAGAGACACTTACTGATACTGCCTATTAACAGGAAACGGAGCAGATGGCTCAGAAGCAATCAAAGAAGAAACAGGAAGAGGAGGAGGAGGGAGTGAATCCCGAAGGTTTTCAGAACTTTATTACCAGAGCAAGGTAGGAACAGATTTTATTCCCTTTGATAAAGGATCTCCCAGCCCTGAAGGTGATGGGATTGTTCTAAAGATAATCTGATCGATCTAAAGGCCTCTAGATACCTTTATTGACCGTAGCACCTCCTTCTGCTCTTGCTGGGGGACAGAGAACTTTTATCTTTTCTCCCTTTCAGTAACCAAACACTTGTATCATTGGCATCTGGTGCATAGCAAAGGACATGTGATAGAAGTTTTGACTATTAAGTAGATTCCCAAAGGACAGCAGTGGTTGCCCTGGTCTGTGTAAATTTCAAACTGATGCTGTTGAGCTAGTGGTCTCCTTTCCCATGATGCTGGAGCAAATGCAGCAGTACTTAGGAAGGAGAACGAAACCAGAGCTGCTGCTCAGATGGCCTTGAGCTGCTGTGGTTGAACAGTAGTTGTTGCTCTGGCTCTCAAGTTTCTGCTCACAGAAACAAATCTCATGCTTGCTGCCTCTCTTCAGGAACTCTCGAGGCCTGGACTTTCTGAAATGAGGGAGGAAGGGAGTTAGACTCCCTGTCTTCATCCTAGCCTCTTATTTGGCTTGCTAAGGCAGTTGAGTGCAAGCAGTTACTTTTACAATGAAAAAGCAGTATTTTCTAGCTGTTCATGCTCTGAACTTTATCTGCCTTGAACTTACAAGAGTCTGGTAGGAAACATATTTTGAAAACACGTAAATACTCTTTAAGGCCTGTTTTTCATTATATGAAAAACAATGGTATTATAGCTATCTGACTATGGAGCTGTCTGAAATTATTCAGTTAATGGGAATGATGTCCTCAAAGTCTCTGATTTTTGAGCACAGAAACTGTTTCCTTTTGACTTCTTTATTTGACCGTTATTTGACATGCCTATATTGGAAAGGACCCCTGACAGTATCTGTACAGGTAGAGTTTACTTGCCTTTTTAATTCCCTTCTGTATTCTCTGAGAAGGTTGACAGTCAGTGCTTCTGCTTCATGATCGGTTATGGAACTGTTCTTTTTTTTTTCTCTGTTTCTCTGAGTGCTTTCTCCGTAGCACTCTTAGTGACTGATTTAGAAGTGGGTGATAGCTGAGGCTTCTTAACTAAGTTCAGGAGGCTTCACAGTCTCTTTTGATCCTATCTTCTCATGAAAACAATGGATTTTTCATTTTGCTAATATAATTGATAGAGTCATTACTTCAGCAGATTTACAGGCTCCAAGAAAAAAATATCACTGCTTCTGTAAGAGTTCTGTAAAAGAATGATATGTGTGACTACCATATACCATAGCATCTACTCCTGTCGTTAGAAGTGCAGATTACATGAGCCCACAGCACGCTCTTGGTTCTCTGACATCTCTGGCCACTAAAATGACTGTTGCCTCCGAGAACAGGTCATTTTGCTTTATGCCAGAAATGCTAAGAGCTCGCTGTTTGGGGCAGACCTGCATACTCTTCTGTTTCCATGTGTTGTGGCTTAACCCCATCTGGCACCTAAGCCCCACACAACCACTCTCTCACTCCCCTGTGGTGGGATGGGGGAGAGAATCAGAAGAATAAAAGTGAGAAAACTCGTGAGTTGAAATAAAGACAGTTTAATAGGTAAAGCAAAAGCTGCATGGGCAAGCAAAACAAAACAAGGGATTCATTCACCACTCCCCACGGGCAGGCGGGTGCTCAGCCATCCCCCAGGACAGCTGGGCTTCATCACATGTAATGGTTACTTGGAAGATAAACGCTGTCACTCCGAATGTCCCCCCCTTCTTCCTCCCCCTAGTTTATACACTGAGCATGATGCCATATGACATGGGATATCCCTTTGGTCAGCTGGGGTCAGTTGTCCCGGCTGTGTCCCCTCCCAGCTTCTTGTGCACCCCCAGCCCACTGGCTGCTGGGATGAGGTGAGAAACAGAAAAGGCCTTGGCCTGTGCAAGCCCTGCTCAGTGATAGCTAAAACATCCCTGAATTATTACCCTTGTTAGCTGCACAAATCCAAAACACAGCCCCATAATAGCTACTATGAAGAAAATTAACTCTACTCCAGCCCAAACCAACACACCATGTTATTGGCTACCACGCTACCATGGCCTGATGCAGTCTAGGCTAGGGCTGGAGATTTTTGCTGGATCATTTGCCAGAGTGACAAAGAACAGCAAAAGCCAGTTTGTCAACAATCAATTTCTAGCAGTGGTGTTTTTGCTTCTTATGAAGTATCAGGTATGTTTGAAAACTATAATATCTGACACTACTTTGTGCTGTGCTTGAAGCTTAAATCAGTCAGCTAGCCATTTGAAGCAAAACAAAGGGGGGTAGATTTCTGCTTTGAGTGTTTGTTCTGCAGTACGGTGAATGCAACACTGGAGAAAACGAGTAATAAATGTTGCCCCTCTAACTGGGATTGTCTCACTGGCACTCTAACTTTGGTATCACAAGGATGGCATTGTGTTTAGTTATACACATGCTACAACCATTGCTTCTAAACATCCTCAATGCAACTTAAAAGTATATACTTATGCTGGTAAATTCACTTAAAAGCTTAAAGCACCTTTCCACCAACAACTTTTCATTCTTAAATCTTCTCTTCACCTCTGTTCTTATTGGTTTGGGAGAAAAGCTGAACTTTGCAGCATGCCCTGAAGGTCCAAACTCCAGTTGGATCAGATTAAGACATTGCTTTTACCAAAGCTCAGGCTAGCTGAGACTGTTTCAAGTGTGATAGGCAGAGAACATTTTGAAGGATTATAACCACTGCTATGCAAATTTATTTTCTTGTAGTGTTACTGGTATTATACTTTTTGGTTTTGGTGTTTGCTCTTCCATATCCTCACTAATGCTGAGGCAACACTATAAAGCAAAAGGAAAACATGTTAAATAGCAAAACAATTAAAATTAGAGCTTGCACAAGCTCTAATATGAATGGCCAAGTAACTAATACTGGTTTGGGACAGTTAAACTCTCTTCTCATAAAGAAAATGAGAAATGTGTGCAAGTTTTGTGAGATTCACAAAAATATTGACTGTTCTGTTTGTTTGTCCTGCAGTTTTTGCTAATTAACAAGCTCCTCCCTCCTCTTCCCTCTTCTCCTACCACTGCTGAAGTGAAACTACTAATGATGACTATAAAATAGGCTGAGCTGAGTTCTCTCATGAACAAGATAGTGCTGTTAAGCCTATCTCCCCAAAAATGTGTCTGGAGTTTTCACTTGCTCTTTCTTTATCCTGGGAAGGCTCCTTGAATGCCTTGAATTTTCTACTGCATAAGAAAATGACATTTCAATGGAAATCTCAGATTTAAGCAAGGCATATTCCTTTCCTTCTGCTCTTACCCTGCAGAACTGATAAAATAATTAGCTAGTCTAGCCTCACCTTGTTTCCCCGCTCCCCTCTTCAGTCTCCTTATCACTTCTTGTCTGTGATTGTTACATGAATGCAGAAAAGCTTAGAATCTTCACTTACATCCATTCTTCTCTCCTTATTGTAGTGAAAGCGACCTGGAGGAAGTGCTGACATTTTACACGCACAAAACCAAGTCAGCAAGTGTCTTCCTAGGAACAAACTCCACAAGCACAAAACCCAGCAATACCAGTGATCAGTCAGAGAAACAGCCTCAAGGGGGTAAGTTTTGCAGGTGGTTCTGAGATGATGTTGCCCAGACAAATCCAGTTAAACCTCAGTCTGTGGAAAGAGAACAACCCCTCCAGAATGTTACTCAGGTTTCTTGAGGTTGTATATCCTTTTTTTTAAACTGACTGTATATGTGAAGACTAGAGTAACTGCACTCCTACCTTCTTTGCCTGAAGTGAAGTGGGAGGAATCTGGACTAGCATTTATAAGGAACTAGATACTGTGGCTCACAACTGAAATAAAAATGTGCAAACTGAAGGCGCTGAGATTTGAAATGAACAGAGAATCCTGAAATCAGAGTAAGGGATGAGAGAAATCAAGGCCTGTTAAATTGTGCTACCTACAGTGAGCGTACCCATTGGAGGGCAGAGTCTGTATATTTGAGCCTAATTAGGCATTCAGTGGCAGGAAGTGCAGTGCCAGCCATACATATTCAGTAGTCAACGCTACTGTACATGACAGCACAATTGTGATCAATAGAGTTGCACAGTCTACAGTAAATGTTAGCAAGAAAGTCTGTTGTAACAAGGTTTAAATTCTTCAGTCCTGTTCTACTGATATCACAGTTTGCATTGTTCTACTTCCTAACTTCTTGATTTTGTTATAGAGCATCCTGAGGTGGTGAAAAAAATAAAAGGTGATCAGTCCAAAAGTTCAGTTGCAGATCTGCCTGCAGAAGGAGCATTAAAAGGCTATAAACCCAAAGAAGTTAAAGCAACCTGTAAGTGAACTGGCTTAAATCATCATCAAGAAAAAAATAATGAATGCATATGCTGTTATTAATACTGTTTTAAAAAAATACAAGTCAAACTGAGGGATTCCAATGCCTGATTTTGGGGAAGATTCTGCAGGCTTTTCTTTTAAACCCAAGAGAAGATACTGTAGAGCGAGCAGTATGAAAGAGTTAGCTGCTCTTCTGTGGGGGAAGATCTAGGTATGGCAAGATTTGAAAGAGGATATTCCTCATGTGGAGCCTCTTCTTGTCTTTGCTGGTAGATGAGGTCATTTTGGCTTCACTGTGTCTGAGCAGAGGCATCTTTGGTGTGTTGATATTATCTGAAAGACCTGAAAACCAGCTCTTTCTCATGTAATGTGCTCATTATCTTTGTGTAGTTCCAGAAGGACCCACCTTCTCCTTAAATGCGGAAGTGAAATTACCTCCGTGCGGCCTTCCTAGTGCTTCTTCCTCTGTTTCTGGTGCCATGTTCCAGAGAAGTACCAGTTCCTGGATACCATCTCAGCCTGCAGCCTCTGAAAATTCACAGGTGCCTGGTCACCATTCATTGCCGGCTCCTCCAGTTGGTCCCAGGCTGATTCAGTGCCCATTCCCACTACCCTCCTCACAGAGTACAGCTCCTGATGGCTCCTCTGTCTTCACAAACCCAGTGTCCAGTGAGGCTTCTAGCCTTGCAGGATTACATCGTTGTCATTCTGGTAGCTACACCATTGGCCCATTCTCATCTTTTCAGAGAACCGCTCAAATCTACAGCCAAAGATTGTCCCGACCATCCTCTGCAAAAGTAGGTGAGTGTTCTGGGATGCCTAACAACCTGATCGTTCAGTAGAGACATTGTGTAATCTCTCTTCTGGAGTAGGTAGAAATTTTACATTTCCAGAATTATGAGTCTTGTTAAATGGTGCTAAATTTCTGATGGAAAGGTGGAGTGCAGGAAGCAGCCCTTGTTTACCAAAGATGGCCTTTAATTGAGCAGGTGAACAGGGAAATATAGAATCATTTAGGTTGGAAAAGACCCTGAAGATCATTGAGTCCAATAGTTAACCTAACACTACCAAGTCTATCACTAAACCATGTCCCTAAGTGCCGCATCTATATGTCTTTTAAATACCTCCAGGGATGGTGACTCAACCGCTTCCCCAGGCAGCCTGTTCCAGTGGTTGACAAGCCTTTTGGTGAAGAAACTTTTCCTAATATCCAATCTCAACCTCCCCTAGTGCTGTTTCCTTTTGTTCTATCACTTGTTATCTGGGAGACTGACACTCACCTTGCTGTAATCTCCTTTCATATAGTTACAGAGAGTAGTGAGGCCTCCCCTCAGGCTTGAACTTTAAACACAGCCTTTGAACTTGTTCAAAAAGAACTGGGAAATGAAGTATTGTATATTTTTGCTTGATTGTATTACTGATCTCTTGTTTATCTTTAGTGATTTTAATGTAGTTTTGGCTAGCAGAAATCCTGTCTCAGTCTATGTGCTGTTCTTAGTTCTGTTTCTCTATCATGCAGAGAAATCTTTTAATGAAAACTCAATTGTTGAATACTTAAAGATCTGTCAAGACCTCCAAAAAAGAAAGATCTGAATGAATCATTACTGTATGTCATTCGCTGGGACCTTTCAGCACTGAGTACCCAAAAATATCTTGTTTTAAGATCTAGAGACCTCTCATTTACTGTGCTGGGGTAGAACATAGTTGAGCAATGCAACTTCAGAGTGTCAGGAATCTGAAGGGTACAAGAAACTGTAGGAATTTATGGATGCAGATTGTAATCTATTAGGAAAAATTTGGGAACCACACACAGGCTAACAGCTGTGGTCTTGATAATATATATATACATATTATTTTTTTTAATGATGGTATACATTTACTTTAGGTTGTACATCAGGGTCAGCACATGTTCACTAGGGTTGCTGTATATATACTGGCAATCTTTCTACCGTTAAAATAAATCTGACTTCCCAACTAAGTAGCTTACTTAAAGGGATCCATTTGTTTTTAAAGAAAATCATTATAGCTTTAACTTAGGTAACAGCAGCCAATATTCTCTGGAATTGGGTGCCATTAGATACATTATGATAAACAGAATACAGGTTTGGAATTGACAAGAGCTGATATAGGCAATACCCATGCAGAATAGAAGGCCGTATTCTCCCTAGAATCTGCAGAAAGCATCATACCTGCTTTTGTGTCTCTGTGATCAGCAGGCCGAGAGAGTCTGCTGTACCACTCACTAAGCATATCCAAATGTTTATTTGGTAGGTTTGTGCCGTCGTAGTCCAAGTGGGCAGCGTGTGGGTTCAGCCATGATGCACAAAGATGCAGAAGATACTTCTTCCCAGGGCAAACATTATAACCCCAATATGGTAGCAGCAGAACTGCAGCAGCTGGCAGAAAAGCAAGCAGCCTGTCAGTATTCCCCACCAAGCCACATCAGTCTCCTTACACAGCAGGTATGTAAGCAGTAAAGCTAGAGTCCCTGTGACAACGGAGAATTCTGTCACAGGCTTCTGTGTCAACACTGGGCTGGGCGGAGACATGCTGGAAGATGTAAATCTCATGAAAATCGATTTCTGTCATATTGTTTTTTTGAAGTGTTTACAACGACTGGAATTTTGATTTTCTGTGAGGTGACAAGAACGTTGCTAAAGTCCTTTTATAGAAGAAAGTGAGATTGGGCAGAGGATTAGAAAATACGTTATAATAAACTAAATCCATGCTTGGTCTTATTAAGCAATAAAACCAAGTCTTCTCAGATTTGTGCTTCCATGTAATTGGTTTCCTCATTCCTCCAGTGTGTCGTCACAGTGCTGGGAATGGAAGTCTGCAGAGTGGGTTCTGATGTAAATTTGATATTTCAATAACATTGTAAAGACATAATGAAGTGCTTACTAGAATTAGGATATGATAATCCCTTTGCTAAACATGGTGGTATATATCAAATTTACATTGGCTTCTGGTAGAATTCCACTTAGTTTCATATTTCTTTTTGAGTTATGTCCTAAATGGCTACACGCGTAGTCATCTTTTTTCTTTATAATATCCAATAGTTGTGTTCATCAAAGGTGTTCAAGTCAGACACTTCTCAGTTGTTTAAAGGCACTTTGCCTTCGAAATTATTTTTTTCCCTCTTTACTTGCTAGAGACAAACAGTTTAAATACCTTTGCTCTGATACTTCGATTTTGGAAGTATTTTTTTAACAGTGATGTTTTGCTAAGTTTTCTGAGGCATGTTTAATAGTTGCAATAGCTGCTGCTACTTGCTTCTTTTTGCTTCTTTCAGATTTATTGTTACATGGTTGGATTTTGAGTCTGGTTAGATGATTGGCAATATGTCCTTTCCAAAAGGTGGGGTGCATTTATAATTCTAGGAAGCTGAGTAGATTTTTGGATCCTTCTACATCTAGTTCAAGGTTTTGATTCAGTCTGGGCAGTTCCAAAGCTAACACAGGCACTCCGGTCTTTGCAGATAGGTCTTGAACTTTAAAGGATAAGTCACAAAAACAAACCACCTTCTTGTTGATGGACTTGGCAGAGAATGTAAGCACCAAATATACCTACCTAGAGAATTTGATCTTTCAAAGCCTGAAGCGGTATGGGGAACATCAGGAGAAACTTGCTTGCTTGCCCAGTGCTATTCAGAGCTGTCAGTCTGGTTCTCTCAATTAAATCAGAATTTAGCTTTTATAAGCTAAACTTTCTCAGTAAAACTGTTCAAAAAATTTGGTAGTGAAACATTTTCATTCAGTAAATGTTAATTTGTTGAAAGCTAAGCATATGGTGGAAACTGGCTCCTTGGATAAAAATTAGTATCTAAAATATTTGTGAAAAAATTGAAATATATCTATTTCATTTCAATCTTTTCAGAAACAAACTTTTAAAAATAATTTCCTAGACTTTGTCCCTAAAACCACTCATTTCCACTTGGCTTCAACTTCTGTGGTTTCTTAGGTCTGTCTAGAGAACCCAAGTTGTCCTCCTGCTGCCATTTATATATCTATTAGATGATTTTTAAACTTCTGTATTCTCACCGTAGCTAGTTACTGCTAGTTAAGTTAGGACGTATGTAAGAGGGAATCCAGAGATGAATTCACAGAGATCTGCATGGGAAGGGCTGTGTAGCTTCCTGAGCACAGCTGTATTGGATGACAAAGGAGCATACTCTGGTAATTGCAGATGGTGGAGGCTGAAACCTGGTTAGCCACAAGTCAGTTGATCAGTGTACATATACTCAAGTCTGAAAGTGGCTATGAAGTGCAGCAGTAGCTCTGGAAATGTGTTGGTCGTGATAAATGTGTCTGCACTGCTTTTTACTTCTGAGTTCTCCCTAGATACTTTCTCACAGAGGAGGTGGGAAATATACAGAAGAAGAATGAAGGTGCTAATTCCCTTCCAGGAGAGGGGAAGATAGGGGAGAAGACATAGAGAAACATGTGAGAGAGGATTTAGTAAACAGCTGGGGAGAAATGAGAAGTCAAAGACCACTGGTATGGGTTGAAAAGGGGAAAGACTTGGGATGGGATTGTTTGGGGACTCTGGGTTATGAAACCCTGCTGACTTAAGGGCAGGAGAAGTAAGCAATTGAAAGCTGAGAGAAGGTTAGAGATAGAGGTTGTGTAAGGGTTATTTAGTTAAACAGGGCACTACTTTCCTATGCATTTCTAGACAGGAGACTCTGAATTGCTATTTTCCCCCTTTTCACTCCTCTGTTTAAGCCACTTGAAATATAATAGTCCTTTTAAAGTAAAAACATTCTAAAATAAATTGGCATGAAGATGACCTCTGGAAGAGAACATCGCTTACCTGAATAATAAAAACAGTACAATTTTTAAAAGCCACTCCAGAAACTTGGAGTTAGTCTGCCTTGTTGGAAAATACCTGGCTAGTGTGAAAGGGACTTGATACTTGGATTTAATTATGTTTAATGCCAACATTAGGACTATTGATTTGGAGGGGGTGCATGAAAGAGACTTTTGAAAATACTACCATTGCTGTGGACCGTGTTTCTTTTCCAAGGGTAAGAACTTCTATGTGAAAGTTGAATGCCTTTGTCTGTGCCTTGGTTCCTTGTATTGTGCCTAGCTGTGTCTTGGGGGCGGGGGTACTCTGAATACATTACCTCCTTCCAAGAGCAGCTGGGAAGCTTGTTTTCCATTCCCGTTCTTGTGAGAATTGCTTCTGGTATCTGTGTACTAGTGTGGGTCTCCGGGGTTCCCAGGAATGTAGTCTCAACAGCTGTGCTTGGAATGATGTTGCCATTCTGGTTGGGAGCCCACCTCTGTCCCTCTCCAATCCCTGCTGTTCTTCAGTTTCCTACCCATGCCCAAAGCACCTGTTTCTCATTTTTTCTTTTACACTCTTGTATTCTACTCTCTATATTAAATCAGTTTAATTTATTGTGCCAATTGGTTGCTGAAATGACAATGTTCAAAGGGAAAATTATAAGTGAAAGTATCTGAAAAGCCTTGAACAAGATACTTAAAATCTGTTGTCTTAAGAAAACAAGATTTCTGCGATTACATCAGCTTTCTGTCTTGTCAGTCTTCTCCATTCACTTCTGAAACACCAGATGGGACCTTCACAGTGATATTCATGAAGTGAACAGTTCTTATAATATGGGAGGTGGAGATGGTAGGAAGGTAAAGCCTTACTGATGTGTGGTTTCATTCCCTTGTACACAGTTTTCAGTCCTCAAAGACTGTCTCACAAAGTTTGTGAGAACATTCTGCCTTTCATGAATTTGGATTTTTGAAAAATATTTTTCATTATATCAGATAAAATCTCATCAGTGCATCTTCGTGCTTGCAACATGGAGAAAACAAGGGTGCCTTCATGGTGGTATACAATAGAAATATTGATCTAGAACCCATAAGAATCATTACTTAATCCCCTGCATCACTGATGCCTTACTGCCCAGTTGCAGGAATGAGAGATGAATAGAGAGAAAAGAGGAGCAGTATTATTCTATCTTAGACTAGAAAACGAGCAACTGTTTAGGTAACTTCTGTAACTGTCTTCAGTGGTAAGAGCAGGAAAGATGTTGCCTTAGGGACACACTGCAGTATGACAATCTCAGGTTATAAAAGATAAATATTCAGCATTACAAATTAATAAATACAGTGAAACTTCTAGGGATAATCTTTATTGTTAAATATAGCTGTTAGTTTTTACTTCTGACGAATTTTATTTCATTTCATTTACTTAAAACCACAGATTTACAATGTTTTTGTGATTACATAAAATCTAATAATAAATCTGATTTTGAGATTATGACAAACAGTGAGAGTTATGTACCTCTATCCATAAGAGATCTTTCAAACACTGCCTGATTTTTGCAGTACTCGGCATCTAACTATAGTACTCCACAGTATCCAAAAATAACAAGGTGTTCCTCTAGTTAACTACCCAGTACATTTGGGAGCAAGCAACGCAGAGATCTCTATGCAAAATGTGTGCCTTTGAGGATCCAGCATTAACCTGATAATTTCATTGCTCAGTAGGATAATGAGGTATCTGAGCTCAAAAGGTCATAAGGAAAGAAGTAAGAAAGGGAAAGCCCCTGTCCAAATTGCCCAATTTTCAACTGAATTCGTCTTGAAGATAGTTCATTCTTACCTGTTAAGTGAGAAATATTAAGTGCATAAAAGTGCAAGGCCCATGAGAGTGTTTCAGTTGAGGGCTAAAATCAAGTAGAGTTCTACCTATCTATTCTGTCTGGACTGCTGCCTAGCCAGGCAGAATGCCTATATTAATTAGCAGTGAACAGGCTTCTAATTTGGAACTAGCTGCAACATGTGCTGCTTCTTCCTTGTAAGTTAGGGGGACATAGGGAGGAAATATCTTGAAGGTATCATAGGTAGCAGGCTTGTGAATGATATGATTATTGGCCAGAGACACACATGGGGATGACACAGGAAATCAGATTTCCTTAAATATGCTATTGATAGATTATTAATTCACTGGGGATGTAGTCTAGGTCTATAGCAACAAATTTTGAAGGATATGAGCATTAGACATATGAAGTAATTTATTTTGTGTTATTTTTCACTATAGTAGATACAGAGGAGATACATTTTCTTTCCAGGTAATAAGTTAGGCTCGTAGGAGAAAAGATAGGCAAAAAATGTTTTGTGGAACTTCTATGGCTGGATAATATACATTTAGGAGTTCAGAAACAACAGTGAAGTGACAAATTTCTACTGAAAGGTGTGGTCAGTGGTAAAGCTGGTATGGAGAAGAGCAAGGCAACAAATATGCATATCTGTAGTCAGGACCCTAAAGTTTCCTGTAAAATGAAGCAGCTTGCTCCACTAACAGGTATATATGAAATAGAATTAAAAATGGAATTTTAATTCACCCAGGTAAACATAATTCAGACCAAAACCAAAAAACAACCAAAACACCCAACCCATGTCTTGATGTATGAATTCTTTGAACTGAGAAAAATAGCATC